ACAAAAAACTAGAAACAGACTCATAAATGCAGAAAACAAACCAGTGGCTGCCAGAGGAGATGTGGGTGAGGGGATGCATGAAATAAATAAAGGGGATTAAGAGGTACTAACTTCCAGTTATAAAATAAGCAAGTCACGGGATGAAAAGCACAGCACAAGGAACGTAGTACCACTGTCTGGTGACAGACGGTGGCCATGGTGACCATGGAGAGCACTGAGTAATGCACGGAGCTGTCGAATCACTGTGCTGTACACCTGAAACTACTATATCGTTTGAAGTCAACTATTCTTCAGTTTAAAAAAATTTAAAAATATATTAAGCTAGGTGAAAGAAGCCAGACACAAAAAAGTATGTGCAGTATGCTTCCATTTATGTTAGATAGGAAGCAAATCTAATCTACAGTGGCAGTAATTGGATCTCCGCCTCACTGGGGCTGCAGAATTGGGGGTGGTATGGCCTCAGAGGGGCACAAAAGAATGTTCTGGAATGATAAAAATGTTCTGTATCTTGATTGTGCTGGTAGTTTTTACAGGCATATGCATTTTTTTAAAGCATCAGACTGTACACTTAACATGGGCGCGATTTATCACATGTGACCTATACTTTAATAAAACTAATTTTTAGAAACCAGTAAAAGAAAACACCAAGAGAACTGGCATTCTCTCCCAGTCACGATGACCTCCACTTCACAGGTGTGCCGTCAGCCTGACACCCCAAAACAGCCATCGTGCTGTGTGTTGGGCCACTTGAGACACTTCACCCCGCAGGGCCAGCAGACCCGGGGTCCCGTAGGCAGACGAGCTGACTGCCCCGTCACCCAAACAGGCCGGTGCGAAAGCAGAATCGCCCCGAGTTACCAGGGTGGCCCCCGGGAGTCCCCAGACGAAACTTGCCTTATGCCTCCCAGACACTTTTATTCCTTCGTGAGAAACTTTGCTTTTGTTTCCTCAATTTTTAAAAGTTCTTTGTACCTTCGGGGTGTTAGCCCTTCATCTCTGATACACGTTACAAATATTTGCTCCTAGTTTGTTGTTTGTCTGTTGACTCTGCTTGTGGTATCTTAGGCCTTGCAAAAGACGCGGGGTTTTGGATGTTGGCAGTGGTGATCTGTCGGTCTTTCCTTTCACTGCCTCCGGACTGAAGTCCCTACACCCAGGTTACAAGGAGTTTGCCATGATTTCCGGTGTCTTTCCCAAAGGGCTGTGCAGCCGTCCCGGCGCCCGTGGATTCCTGCATGCCGTCCAGTCTGTGCCCGAGCTCTGCGTCCTCCCCCGGCGCCGTGTCCCTCCCGCGCCTGCAGCACGCCGCCGCCCGTGTCGCCGCCCTAGTGGCCGCGTGCCCCCAGCTCTCCTGTTTCCTGCATCTACTTCCCACGTGAACGTCTCTTTCCCACGGGAGCTCCTGCCTCGTCCCACGGAAAAGTTTGTGGTGTTTTTATTGAGATCACGTTACGTTCACAGGTTAGCGTAGGGACAGCGGACATCTTGATAATGTTGGGACATTTCAGTCAAGAACAAATGAGGTCCTCTCTTCCACTGTATCTTCTTGCTGTGATTGTTGGCGTACATGAAGGCTATCGACTTGCTATGCTGATTTTATTTCCTGCTACTTTATGAATTATTTTTATCATTGATTCTCTAGGGATTTCCAGAACATTACCTTGTCATCTGCAACCACAGATAGTTTCTTAAAATTTTCCAATTCTTATGCCTCTGATCATTTGGCTAATACTTTCAGAACAATGTTACATAGTATTGGCGGTAGCAAGCACTCTTGCCTTGCTTCTGACCTTAGTAAGAATGCCTCTGGCGTTTCCCCATTAGTAAGATGCCAGCCTTAGCATTGGGGAATGTGTTTCATAATTTTAAGGAGGTATCCAGCTATTCCTGTTTTCTCAAGGGTTTTTATTAGGATTAGGTGTTGAATTTTGTCATAGAATTTTTTCAACAACTATGTAGACAACCATGTGATTTTCTCCTTAGTCCCATTAATGTGGTGAATTCTGTTAACAGATATCCTAACACTGGACCAACTTTGCTTTCCTGGTACGAACTCTGTGGCCATGGGTACTATTTTCTTAGCATAGTGTTGGACTCCATTTGCCAGTATTCTATTTAGGATTATTACCTTAGTCAATATTCATAGGAGATAGAGTCTGTGATTTTCCTTTGTTATATACTCTCTATAATGTTTTAGTATAACTTATACTTAATGAAATATGTTTTTATTCATTTTCTACGTTCTGAAGCAATTTATGCAGCCTGGAGGCTATCTGGTCTCTGAGATTTGATAGAATTCCCCTTTGATACCACGCAGGCTGGTGGGGTTTATGGGGTAGCCCCTTCATCATTTTCTCTGTTTCTGCTTTGGATATTCTTCCGTGGTTCGTCTCACTTTCGTCTCTACTCGGTCCAATTTTTATAATTGTGCTTTCTCCAGAAATGTCTGTGCCACCTACACTTTTACATTTATTTGCATAGAGTTCTGCAAAATAAGAGGTTTTTTAACTTCCCACGTGTCTGTACTTTCCCTTATTGTTTCTTATTTTGTGTATCTGTGCTTTGCTCCCCTTTGATTAAACCAGCTAATGGTTTGTCCACTTTATTTTTCACTGGAACCAGGATTTTTATTTATTAATTTGGTCTAGTGTTTTGCTGTTTTCTACTACATTAATTTCTGTTTCTGGCTTTATGGTTTCCCTCCTATGTGCTCTTTTGAGTTGCTTTGTTGTTGTTTTTCTTTCTTTCGAGTTGAAAACTTTATTCATGTACAGCTGGCCCTCAAACAGCACAGGTTTGAACTGCACGGGTCCTCATACTTGTGGATTGTTTTGCAATAGGACTGGAGATGCATTTTCTCTTCCTGATGATCTTCCTCATAACACTTTCTTTTCTCTGGCTTCCTCTATTGTGAGAATACCTTATATGATAAAGACACACAGAGAATATATGTTCATTGACTGTTTAGGTCATCAGTAAGGCTTCCTGTCAGCAGGAGGCTATCAGTTGTGAAGTTTGAAGGGAGTCAGGAGTTATATGTGGATTTTCAGCTGTGCGGGGGAGGGGTCGGCACGCTAACCCCCATATTGTTCAAAGGGCCAATTGTACTTTTTATTCTTTCAGTTACTAATATAGGTGTTTAGAGCTAGGGCATTTCCTCACTGCTTTAAGTGTAATCCCCTGGGCCTGACAGAGTTTTTTTGTTAGAAGTTAATGTAATTTCTGTTTTTATTTTTCTTCACCCAAAAGTTGTCTGAAAGCAGTGTTTTTTTGTTTTATTTCTAGATAGATGGGGTTTGTGTTTTTTATTTCTTTGTTTCTTTTGGTTTTGATTATAATTTTTAGTTTTCTTGCAATGTAATCCGAATGTTATTTTAATATGTTTATTTTGTGCAAACTTTTGGTGTTTTCTGTGCATCCTAATGTGTGATGGGTTATTGTGAATATGCCGTGTGTGCTCAAGAAGAAAGCACATTCTCTATGATCAGAGCACGGCTTTGATATACATCCACAATACCTATTTATTGGTTACGCCGTTTGGATCTTGTCCTACTTTGGGAAGAAGCAGGTCTGAGAGTTTATTGGTTCTTCATCAGACAGCCTCTGACTCTGGACAGCACAGGTCACCTGCACGCTTGCTTGCAGACAGGCAGGCACCCTGCTCTACCATGCACCCCGTCCCTCCCCCGCTCCATGCAGCGCCCCTGCTGCAGATGGCCCCGGGAAGGACACAGGGAAAGCCAGCCTAGCAAGGTTTTTAGCAGCATCTTTGCTGATCAGGCTTGGAGCCCCTGTGGGATTTCCAAAATAAAGGGAGGGATGGTGACATAGGAGGTGACACATATGTGTTCTGAGCATGAACGCATGTTGGCTTTTTGTTTCTTATCTAAATACAGCTGCTAATAATACCAAATTCAGGGTGAGAGAAACAAGTGGGCAAAATATCTTAACAGCAGAAAAATGCATTGCCACTTGGAAATCATGTGGTAAAGACTGGTGCCCTCTAGGACACCAGTGAACAGGGTAGAGTAGGCGTCTCCGAGGGCCTGTCCCCTGACAGAAACATCAAGAACTCAAGCAAGTGCTGAGGGACTGACATGGGCACTGTGTCTCCCAGTGCAGAACTCACTAGGGGCAGACGGGGCGGTGGGGGGGGGGGGGGGTGCTGGAAAGCACAGTAAGGTAAGCTCCCTGCAACTGCTTGGACAGGGGGACAGGCCAGGCAGAGAAGGGAGCACTGAGGGCTTGGGAGGATCAGCTGGGGAGACATTCTTTGGGAAATTAGGGCACTCAGAGCCCCCCCCCATGCACACCAGGGCACTCAGAGCCCCCCCCGCGTGCACACCAGGGCACTCAGAGCCCCACCCAGGCACACCAGGGCACTCAGAGCCCCCCCCGCGTGCACACCAGGGCACTCAGAGCCCCCCCCCCGCGTGCACACCAGGGCACTCAGAGCCCCACCCAGGCACACCAGGGCACTCAGAGCCCCCCCCCCCCGCGTGCACACCAGGGCACTCAGAGCCCCCCCCGCGTGCACACCAGGGCACTCAGAGCCCCCCCCCCGCGTGCACACCAGGGCACTCAGAGCCCCTCCCACCCCGTGCACACCTGCATCGGTGGGAGGCAAAGCGGAGGCCGTTTGGCTGGTGCTGTGTGGCCCGCCACGGTGTCCAGGGGCCCAGGCCCCCCCGGACCTGGGAGCGGGCTTTCCTCGGGTCGGGTGGGTACGCCTTCTGGGAAGGTGCTCCCTGTTGTCCACATGCGACGCCCGGGAATTGGCCGGCTTGCACGTGCCAGGCCTCGCCAACACCTGCCTGCAGAAGCCGTGCCAAGCCAGACGTGCAGGTGCAGAGCATCTCCCCTCCCCGTAGACAGGCTTGAAATGGTTAAGAGCCTCCAGAGAAGGAGCTGTGGTGGGTGGCTCGCGGCCAGGCCTCGCACGCCCTCCACCCTGCAGACATGATGCCAACGTGCCCAACAGTGTGCCATCTTCCCCGCAGGAAGGACATTCCCGCAGAACGGGTGACGCACGCAGACAGAGAGCAGACCAAGAAGGTGGTGTACTCGGTGGTCTATGGAGCAGGTAGGCTGCAGCCAGGCTTGGTGTCACCGCAGGCCAGGCCGAGGTGGCTTTGTCGCGTACCCGTGTTGAAACGTGGCTGTGCCCTAGAGGGACCACGCTTGGCCCCTGCAGCTCAGTTTTGTGAGTTCCTGAGTGTCATTTACGAACACTGATGACACGACGCACCAAGCACCAGGCAGACCGTCTGTGGCCCCTGCCCCACTCCGCGTCGCGCCAGTGGGGAGGACGGTGGTGCGGGCATGAACGTGACCAAAACCGCCCGGGGGGGAGGGGTGTTGAGGGCCAGAGCCCACACCGTCAGCCCCACCCCACCGCTGCTGGGCCAGCCCCAGGACCCACGGCAGCGCAGGCCTCTGCTCCCCGCCACAGCTCCCTGACAGGGCTGAGCAAATCCTGTTCAAGTCTCTTCTCCCTCCGCGTCACGCTGAACCAGTGGGGCCTGACGTCCCCTCAGAGACAAGGGAGAGGGGCTCGTGCAGACACGGGAGAGGTTGTCCCCCTGCCACGGACACCCTTTGTTCATTCGAGGAAAGGCAGCAAAACGTGGCAGGCTTCCAGCTCGAGAACATCGCGCAGACGTGTGGCCAGTCACATATGAGAGCCACCTCGTACGCGCGCAGTGTGACCTGGTGCCAGGGCGTTAGTGACTTGCCATGATGGGTCTGGAACACGCCTCACACCGGCCAGCCCAGGCTCTGCACGCCGCTCCGTCTGCTGGACCCCCACGTCCACAGAGTTCACGCTCACACCGCCCCCTTCGCTCCACAGTCCCCTTCGCAGCTGCCCTTGGCCACCGTAGCGGCGATCTTTTCCCGGGTGGCACATTTATGGCCACTCCATGTTTGCGGGGCTGCAGGGCAGTGGTCTCACCCGAGCCACACCGGGGAGCCCATCAGCAGCCCTCAGCTCAAGCCACGTGGGTCCCCACCCTACAGCACGGTGGCTTCATTCTTGAGACCCAGCAGGATGGTGCGACACTTAGCACACATGTGGTCGGGTCACATACCCTGTGGCCTCCCCTGTGCCTGGCTAGAGGCAGGAGGCAGGTCTGGCCACACTCCAGGGCAGGGGTCATACAAGGGCCTGAAGACCAGTAGGCAGGACCACGGAGGCCACTTGAGGGTCTGTCTGCTACACACCCCTTTCCGAACTCGGGGTTCCCAACCCACGTGCAGCCCTCAGCAGGCCCCCCATGGCCCACTCTCCCAGCCTGAGGAGCCCCATGACACAGGAGCTGGGGCAGCCCTGCCCAGACCAGGCCCACGGTGAGCGCTGCCCAGACCAGGCCCGTGGTAAATAGTGAACAAATCAACAAGCTGGGTCGTTTTCTGACCCTACTTGTGAAGATATTTTGTGTACAGTTTTTGGGAAACAAGCTAAGAAACCTAGCTTTAAAGAACTGAACTCAGTGGGTGATAGCAGGATGACTCAGACTCGCTCCATCCGTCTCCTCCTCTTGACCTCCCTGTGCTGTGCTGAACCTTTCTGGGTCACTGTTGGGGGGGGGGGGGTTGCGGACAAGAGGCACCATTCCACCAAATTACATTAGATTTTGGTGCCTGGCATCTTGCTCCAGAATTCCATGTCACAGACACACCATTAGCTTCGGCTCTGCTTCCCTAACAGGCAGCCTGAGCTGGACTCCCAACCCATCCCCTCCTGGTTCTGTGACCTTCTCCAAGGCCCTCCACCTCTCTGTGCCCCAGGCCCCTCCCAGTCAGCGAGGAGGCAGGCTTGTTGGATGGTGCCTGGCACTGGCCGCCTCACCCGCAGCACCTGCCGCCACGCTGGGGGCCCGCTGCCCAGTGTGTCCCGGCCCACGCCACCAAGGGCCTGGCAGCTCTGTGCGGTGGGGGGCCGCAGGGAGAGGGGCGGGAGTGAGAGTGACGAGCTCCCAGCACAGCGTCACGCACGTGGCAGGATGCACTCAGAGTCCATCTTCACTCTGGCACCTTCTGGAATATTCACCTCATTTTTTGCTAGAGAGGAAAAGAGCTCTACTTTGTAAATAAGCAGTGAGTCATTAGCTGTGATGTTGGTGAAAAGAGTAATTTGGCTGCTTTTAGCCCTGATGGTGACAGGGCTCCCACCCCAAGCCTCCACTTTGGCTGTTCCGCTGTCACCGGCCAGCCTGACGGAGATCACTGTGCATCTGCGCACGGCTGTGCCGTCTTCCGTGTGCGCAGCCAGCGTCCTGGCGGGAGAAGCTGCCGGGTCCCCCGGCCTGCTGGGAACCCTCTGGAAATGCGGCACGGGGCTTCCAGCCAGAGGCAATGATGGGTTTCTGCACAAAGGTGCCACCGAGGGTCTGGAAACTGCTGCCCTCCATGCCAGGGGCACAGGCCAGAGGTGCCGCCTGAGTTGGCGTGAGCAGCGTGAGGACCACGGTGACAGTCGAGGAGAAGCAGGGCTGTGACATGAGCAGAGAAGGTGCCCAGGAGGGACGCCACGTCGCTGCAGCCCTGCGGCCTGTGGGTGGGGCCACCCGGTCCTCACATCTCCCTCAGACTCTGCGGGGGGCACCGTCCCTGCCCAAACTGGTGGTGACCACAGAGCAGCTGTCCCCCGGCACCCGGCCGAACGGCTGACCCGCGCGGGCTCCTCCTTCCACCACCTGCCAACTAACAGTGCACCCAGCGTGGCTCTGCTGATGGCCCCTCTGAGCCCAGCAGGACCTGCTGCCTCCAGGAAGCCCCTCCTGACTCCTCTGGTCCTGCTCAGAGCCCCCACTCCTCCTAGAGTCCGTTTACCCCTTGATTCTCCATGGGTTCAGCACTCAGGTTCACCTCCACATCCAGGCACATGTGGTCAGTAGCTCCCCCCCGCCGAGTGTGCTTAGGCCAGGCTCCCCCTGGGCATGGGAGGACTCAGGCAGGTGTAGTATCTGCTCCCATGGGCCGACACCTGTCACAAGAGATGCACAAGCAGGCCCTGAGGACAGCACTGAGTTTCCGGTGCCGAGCAGGGCCAAGGGCATCAGGGCAGGCCGCCAGAGCAGAGTTTGGAAGGCCGTGTAGTCGGTCGGGTCTGTTCCAGGGAGAGCAGCCGGCGCTCCTGAGGGCCCACCGTGTCTCCAGGCTGCAGACGAGAGTGAGAAACCGTTAGCAAATACGCGAGCGGTGAAAGAGCACTTGGAGACAAGGGAGTGATTGTCTTCCTAAAGTTAAAGATGTCGCGCACATGATGTCATTAGCCATCTGCGGGAAAAGTCAAATTGCGTGTTCCTGTGGGGTTTCAGAGACGGGGAGTGACTCGTGCTCTGGCCGAGGGGGCCCTTGCTCTAGGGGACAGGCCTGGTCGCGATCACAGCTCACACAGCGGAAACCTGACCAAGTGAACCGAAGCATGGGGGACAGTGTCTGAAAGGGGCCTGTCTACATGAAGCGTGGAATACAAGCCCTCACGGAGTCCAGGGTCACCCCGCCTGGGGCCTTGGAGTGTGACAGACCCACTGGAAGGGCACGGGAGCAGGAGCCCTGAGGTCTGGCTGGACCCTCTGCCTCCCTCCGAGTCTCTGCCTCTTCTTCCTGTGCGGGTCCTGCACTATTTGCTCCTCCTGTGAACAGGCTTTCTTCACGTACAGGGACCTTGGCCAACCTCTGCCCTTCAAGTATTCCCAATGGTTCTACCTGATAAAGGAAAAGAATTCTTGAGCCATACATACCGAGAAGGAGAAGTGTGACTTCTGTAATGGCCAAGTGGCTCCCATCCAACTACAACTTATGGGGAAAATATAATAAACACCTACATAAAGTACTGAGGCGTGGCCTGTGGGAGGAATGGTTGGGGTGAAGACCAGCCTCGGCGCTACGAGTGGCTGAGACTCCAACAGAAATGCGTAGCCTCACTTGCTTGAGGAGACACGGGGCAGTTTGGAGCAAGCGGGGAATCTAGAAAGTGAGAAAGAAATCTCAGGAAAAAGAAAGCCAAAGGAGAACACTAAATTCTGGATGTGAACTCTGCCCTAACCGCTGGCTGCCCCCTAACTATGCATAAGAAGGGGCAAACTTCAGACGGCCCAGCTAAGGCTAAAAGGACTGATATGAGGCTTCAGCTGCTCCCCACTGCACAGGGACAAAGTCTTGTGCAAGGAAGGAAGGGAGGGAGGGAGAGAGGGGAAGAAAGGGAAGAGAAGAAAGAAAACATCACTGGGGCGTCTGCATGGCTAAGTCAATTGAACGTCCAACTCTTGATTTTGGCTCAGGTCGTGACCCCAGGGTCATGGGATCGAACCCTGCTTAAGATCCTCTCTCTCTCCCTCTGGCCCTCTCCCCAACTCCTACTTCCTTTATTTCTCGCTCGCAAATTTAAAAAAAGAAAAGAAAAAAAGAAAATCAGTACTCCTGAAAAAACATAATAGAATCCAGAGTGTCCAAAGCAGTACATTCACAATATCCAGGATATAATCCAAAATTAATAAGCCTATGGAGAAATAGGATAACTCCATCCAGACTCAAAAAAAAAGGGGGGGCATCATGGAAGCATGTCCTGAGATGACCCAGATACTGGAATTAGCAGACGTGGATTTGAAAGTCACTATTATAACTATGCTGAAGGATGTAAAGGAAAACATGCTCATAATGAATGAAAAAATAGGAAATCTCAGAAAATAAAAACCAAATGGAAGTTCTAAAACTGAAAACTGCAATGTCAGAAATAAAAAATTCACGGAGTAGGCTTAACAGCAGATTAGACATGAGAAAGGACTTAGCTGAGAGGACTCAGGGTCCCACCCAGCCAGGCCTGGCTGAGGTGTCTAATCGCCACCTGATTCCTTTCTGAACGCCAGTGGAGCTTTCCACTAGACTGCCATAGCCGAGGGGCAGTGATTAGAATGCACAGAAAGAATGAGAGATGGATTACTTCAGTATAATGTATTTATGAAGCTATCATATGGTCTTAATTAAGCCCTAAAAGAGAAATTGGAAATTTTTTCATTTCCATTGAAGTGGCATCAGGCAAGCTTGGCGAGAGGAAAGACTGAGGGCTCTGTGAGCTCTCCCGGCTGGGAGAGACTCTGGGGAGCACAGGGCACCCCAGCCTTTCCCACTCTTCCTTGCCAAGCAGTGGAAGCAAATGCCTCCCCTTCAAATTCCCAAGGTGGATTTCTGTCCAGACCACTGAAGGCATCAGCCAGCAGGCACTGGGAACAGCCTGGCTAACGAGAAGACTGGGTCCGTGAGGCTTGTCTCCCAGTCCCTATAGGCTCCACGCCTCCACCCTTGGGCCATGGTTTCTGGGCTGGGTTGTCCTGAAGGCTGCTTGGGGCACCCTCTGGTGTGGCCCCAGAGCAGACCCGGTGCTGAGGACAGCAAGCCCGCTCCTGGTCCTGGTCATGCTCTCGCAGGAATTCAGGTCTTCAGCTGTTTGACTCTCAGGGATTCCCTCCAACCATGCAGCCCCTCAGAGCTCAGGGCTTTGCCCGTGACCCTGGGGTCCAGCAGGGCCCCTGGCCTGTCATCATGTGCTCCTCATTCACTCTTTAAACTATCATTCTTTTCTGGAGGAAAATGGGAGAGAATGACTTCATACTAAAAACCAAATAGGAGTCAGGCTCTGCTTGAGCTTTACCTGCCTTGGTTCTAGGGTCCCCTTAACAACCCCTGGGGTAAAGGCTAGTGTCCTTGAGTCATAGGTGAAGAAACAGGGTTGATTGCAGGTCAGATAACTTCCCCGAGGCCACACAGAGCCTCCCGTGGTGACGGAGCTGGACTCAGACCCAGGTGTGTGTGGCCCCAGCCTCTGCTCCCAGCAAGCTGTGCTGGGACTCACGTACCATCCTCACCGGAGATTCTGCTGTAAAAAGCCTCACCAGAGCACCTGCGTCCCCTAGGGAACAAATACTGCTCTGGACCAGAAGTGTTCGTCTCAGAGTAACAGCGTCAAGGATAGGAGCTCCTAAGTACCATTGTCTCATAATTTGGCAATGGAAATTTCCCTCCCCTTCCCCCGGTGCCCCTCCCCAGTGTCCCCTAGTTGTGGAGTCAGGTCTCCCTCTGGACACAGGCCGAGAGCAGGGCCCACATCTGCTTCGTTCACGGCTCCGCCTGCAGCACCCGCCCGGGCCACGGTCGGCACTGTTGAGTGAGTAAGTGTGTAACAGACACCAGCGTAGGCCGAGCAGCACCCAGCCCCATCCCGGCCCACTGGGAACACAGGAGTGGGACCAGCTGGCCCTGCACCCGTAGTCTCCCAAGGGCCTTCTGCGGGCTCACCTGTGTGCGATGGTCGCCACCTGGGCTTGCGGTCCCCGCTGGTGTGAGGCGGGCTTGCCTTTGATCTTGAGCGTTTCTGTCTGTGCAGGGAAGGAACGGCTCGCCGCGTGCCTGAGAGTTACTGTGCCAGAAGCTGCCCAGTTTTTGGAGAGTTTTTTGCAGAAGTACAAGAAAATCAAGGACTTTGCCCAAACAACCGTTGCCCAGTGTCACCAGACAGGTGAGCCAGACGCCACCCGAGCTTGTGGGGGCGCCACCCCCCCCGAGCTGCAGCCCCCGCTGGTCTCCAGCCTCACTCACTTAGGGGGTGGTGGGCAGACAGGAGGGCACCCGGTGGGCGCACGGCCCCTGCTGGAAAATGGGGCCACAAGTCCCCGTGTGACAAGGGTCCAGAGCCAGGATGTGCTCGCTGCAATCTTGGGTCAGAAAATACAGATGGACAGGTAAAGATGAAATCCTGTCCCTGAACATTCCTTCTTATGGTATGCGTCCTGCGCGCGGCCGACTTACAAAACTTCAGCACAAGCTGGTCACAGATTTAAAAGAATGTCAAGTAGGGGGCGCCTGGGTGGCTTAGTCGGTTAAGCGTCCGACTTTCCGACTTTCGCTTAGGTCATGATCTCGCGGTTTGTGGGTTCGAGCCCCGCGTCGGGCTCTGTGCTGACTGCCAGCTCAGAGCCTGGAGCCTGTTTCAGTCTGTGACTCCCTCTCTCTCTGACCCTCCCCTGCTCACGCTGTCTCTCTCTCCTAGAAATAAATAAACTAAAAAAAAAAAATAAAAAAAATAAATAAATAAAAGAATGTCAAGTAGAACATGTCGTGGGGCCACCGTGGAACACAAAGGTAGCTTGTATCTAAATACGTGGCCGTCCGTCCGTCTGCCTGCTCAGAGGTGCATCCCACTCCGTAATGATTTAGAATGAAAAAAAGAAGCCCCACAAAAATCACAAACATAAATACATGACAGTGAAAGTGTCTCATGTGAAAACCTGCGGGGCACGGCCAGGTGGGCATTTCACTGAGAGGTGAAGCGATGCTTTAAAAGTGTATTTTCAAAAGAACGAAAGAAATCTGTGAACGTACATTCAAACCAAGGCATTTGAAAAAGAGCAGCACAGTGAGGTGAGGAGAGAGGAAGGAGAGAAGCGAGCGTGGGAGCAGAGCTGCGTGAGGCCGGCCACCGGAAGGCAGGCGGACGGCAGGTGCGGGGGGCACAGAGCTGGGTCCGGTGGCGCTCTGTGAAGAGTAAAGTTCTACCGATTTTGAGACATTAGAAGAGTGATGGAGCCCAGTGTCGATGAGAGTGTGTGCAGTCAGAATCGTCAGAAAACAGCGGTGCCAGTGCCTGCGAGGCCCGTCTGCAGGCCACATGCGGTTCAGCGGCTTTCGACTAAGTGACTTCTGATCCTCACTGCAATTCTAAAAGGTGTGTGTGTCGTTACCCATCTTACAGATGAGGAAAACGAGTCACCAAGAGGTGAAGTAGCTCCCCGAGTTCACACAGCTGGCAGGTGGCACGGGGCTGACACCCACCCCCTCCCTGCTGCACGGCTCTGCCTCCCTTCCTGGCACTCACCTCTTTTATTTATTTATTTTTTAATGTTTAATTTATTTCTGAGACAGAGAGAGACAGCGTGAACAGGGGAGGGTCAGAGAGAGAGGGAGACACAGAATCTGAAGCAGCTCCAGGCTCCGAGCTGTCAGCACAGAGCCTGACGTGGGGCTCGAACCCATGACCCGTGAGATCGTGACCTGAGCCAAAGTTGGACGCCTAACCGGCTGAGCCCCCAGGCCCCCAGTGGCCCTCCGCTCTGGACCAGCGGTTACCCTCCGGGCAGACGCTGTAGGGAGGTCCTGGCGTGATCATGCTGTTCTTCCGCAGTGTGAGCGGACGGTCGGGCCCGGTGCTGACACCAGCCTCACGAGCCCCGAGCAGTCCTGGGGCCACCGTCCAAGAGCAGACAATGTGCCTCAAATAAGCGAGTCCATCCGGACAAGGTCAGAAAGACGGGATTCTAGGTGTGGAAGAGACGAACAGGACGCTGGAGCAGAACGACGGGGGGGGGGAGGCGGGGGGGGAGCTGGAGAGCTCCATTACCCCTGGTGCCCCCGGGGGCGCCGTCTGAGCCGCCGCGTGGAAGACCGGGGAGTCTGCGGCGGGGCGGGGCAGGCCACGGGAAGAACCTGGGTTTCATTTTTGCAAACCTGTCCACACGAGTGCAGAAAACAGGGTGGCAGGGGAGGCGGGTCCGAGCTGGTGCCTCGGGGGCAGTCGGAAGTGACCGGGTCGGCCTCTCAGCCGGGGCGGGCTGCACTGGGAGCACGGGCACAGACAGCAAGGAGGCAGCGTCAGCGGCTGGCACGGAGGGGCTCGGGCCCAGCGGGACGAGCCGCTCCCCAGGTAGGCGCCCCGACGCTCCCGGCGCTGCAGCAGGCACACGAGGCAGGCGCGCCACGGTGCTGAGGAGCGAAGGTCCGGGCGCCTCGCCAGCCCCGGGACAGGTGTCGACACATGGGCGGAGATGCCGCCTCCAGCCGGCCTCTCGTCTCGGGGGTTGGGGGGGGCGGCCACAGCTAAGGGGAGGTCGAGTTGGCGACTCACTTAACTGGGATTTCAGGGCAGATACTTGTGTGGTTTATCCCTCCTTCCCTGTGACTGTGGGGTGCAGGCCGTGCTGGCTGCGTGCTTCCAGAGGCCTCCTCCCATGCCCTCGCCCACTTGCTGAGCACAGGACGCGAGGGTGAGGGATAGAGGTCATCGCAGCGTGAACAGGAGGCACGCGCCCAGCCCCGCGCACGCTGGGGACTGGGGACGTGTGGAGCCCAGGACTCCGCTTTGGGCCACAGAGACCTGGGACCCTACTTCCCTCCCACGATAAACAACTAGAAAACTGGGCAAAATACACGAAGCAGCTGTTTTCACTGGACCACGGCAGGGCAGTCCTCTGGCCCTGAGAGGAGAGAAACAAAGTGGGGGGGTGGGGCGTGGGGAGCCCAGGCAGCCACGTGGTGTCACAAAGCCAAGGAACCAGAGTTGGGACCCGGGAGGCCGAGGCAGAGGGTCAGAGGGCAAGGGGCCCCGCGGAGAAAGCACTCCACACATCCTCAGAGGGTTCCCTGTGTGTGTGCTTGAGCCCCAAGGCGCACATTCCCTGTGAAACCCCATCGGACGCAGCAGAGTAACTTCTAGAAGCAGTAGGCTGGGCGATTCCAGAGTCCGTGCAGGGCTAGAAGATGTTTGCATCCTGACCATTGGTGTGGACACCTGGGACACTCCCCAGAGCCCCCAGAATGAAGGACCCAGGAGTGGGGCTGAAGCACCCCTGGCCAGGGGCTACTCAGAAGCAGCCCACAGAGCTCAAACACAGGCCTCAAAGGCATCAGGTGACCTGCTGGTAACCTGGGCCTGACCCTCTTGAAAGAACACACCAAACCCAACCCTCAGCAGCAGGAAGCACCCAGTGCCCAGCGTCCGGTCCAGGGTCACCAGACACACGGAGAGGCGGGGCCTTCTGAAGCTGGCCGGGCGGAGGCTCGGGCTCTGCCTGTCCCCACTGCCTGCACTGTTAGGAGACCGGATGGTGGTATCACCGCGGGCACACAGCTGCTGCTCCAGGCGCTGTCATGTAGTGATTGTGATCTCCATGGGAAATTCTCCCAAGCCTCAGATACGGGAGAGCCTAAGTGGGGCAGGTAGTCTCACCGACCCAATAAAACGGAAGTTCTCACTGGTCAGGAACATTCTCAACCAACAGAACGCTTGCGTTTGTTCTTGTAAGGAAGACCTCAGGATTAAGAAGCTTCAGGCCCCACAAAACTTGGGCCTGCCCTCGTGTGTAAGGGTGCGGGCCCTGACCCGGGCCATCAGCCCCTCCTTGAGTAGAATACGGATTAATGCTTCTCTCCCCATCGCAGCTGCCCCATGGTCCAGAGTTACTTCCGCACCCAAGTCCCACAGTGGCTTTTAACAGTCTTTACACGCTGCTGTCCCTGGCCCATGTCAGATACGCTGCAGCGGGAGGGAGACCGGCGAGCCACCGGGCAGGCGGAGACGTCGCTGCCCCTGCTCTCCCCGCGCAGAGAGGGAGGCCTCTGGGCACAGCCCCGGGCCACGCTGCGGCTCAGCGCGCCAGGGGACGGGTCCTGCCCTGAGGGAGCCCCACCCACAAAGGGTAGGTAAGCGCGGGACACCGCGCAGCCTGTTCATTCCTGCCTCATGTCCTGCTTCTCCTCGTGTGACCCAGGCTATGTGGCATCCGTCATGGGCAGAAGGAGACCACTGCCGAGAGTCCACGCACGGGACCAGCGGCTCCGGGCACAAGCAGAGCGGCAGGCGGTGAACTTCGTGGTGCAAGGTACCCCGAGCCCCTCCGCCCATCTGCCATGTCCGCGTGCGTCCTGGGTGTTTGTCGGCCGCAGGGCTGTCCCGTCCTCACGGCCGGCTACTGTGGGGAGGCACCAGTGAATGACACGGGCCCAGCAGGTAGGTGCACGGGGCACAGTCACGTCTCCGCAAGAGACAGGCTCAAGCAATGCGGCCCTGCGCCTGCAAATAGGGAGTGGGCAGGGCCAGGGCTGACTCCCGCCCCGGGACCCCCGCCTCGCCCCCCCCACCAGGCCCAGCAGGCCCTCCCGGGTCCTGCCGCTGTCTGCTGGCGGGAGTGACCACACAGCGTCCACCCCTCGTGGTGAAGACGCCTTTGCCATCTCCGCCACAGCACTCAGAGGGCTCGAGCCTCTGCGCACATCACGGGCTCCGCACACCACGTGCCACGAGCTGTTCCCACGAGGCCCCAGACACGAGGCCTGCGCCCGGAGGGGTGTTCTGCAGCAGGGGGGTGGCCGGGCCCCCAGCAGACTTGGAGAGGGCGACGTGGACGGAGGGGAGGGTGGAGGGCGTGTCCCCAGGAGCCCTGTGGAGACAGGGACATGGCGGCACTGCCCCGTCCAGACTCCACCCCCACGTGTGGCTTGGACAACCGGAGGCTCAGCAGCGGGCAGGGCAGTTCCTAGGCCTGGTCTGGGCTCCACAGAGACTCTCCCGAGTCCCATCTCCCAGGGCGACCATCGGGGCAAGAGCTGAGGGGGCGGGTTTTCATGTCTGAGGCAGTGGTCAGGCCAGGACCCCATGTCTGTTCAGTAGGCGTGTGCAAGGTGACATCGAAGCTATTTTAGAGCCGTTCCAGAAAGAATTATCTTCACTCGAGAAGCTGACTAGGAGTCCTGGCCACGGAATTGAGCCACCACGGATACCGCGTCCCTGCGTACCTGTGTCTCTGAGCAAGTGACTTGTCATCCATCCACTTAACAAAAGCCCATTTTGAGCTGAGCCAGGTACCGGGGACAAGCCGCGGCCGGTGCCTATGAGAAGGTTCTGCCTCTGACACATCAGCCAACATGACCAGCCATGATGCCCCCGCCTGCCTGGGGCCTCCCCTCCCCCACCCCCCACTCTCTCTCCACCCGCCTCCCCCGTCCTTGTTTCTCCAGCTCCGTGCACTTCTCCGGAAACAGCAAGCACCCTGGCACCGACCGAGTGCGGCTCCCCTGGTCACCGCCAGCAGGCTGGCCTCAGCCACCGCACTTCCACGCCCAGCACTGCTGCCACTCTCTTGGGGGAAAGGACAGCCCTCTGTGGGGGCTTCACCCTGCAGGGAGGAAGGCAGTCCATTGACTTCTCTAACCTCGGGAACCAGCAGCAGCTAAAGCAATTTAAGACCACTGATGAACCCTGAACTTCAGTCTGTTTCCCATGATCAGAACCCGGTGTGAAGACCCCCCCTGTGTGCCTGGCGCTGGAATGGGCTTGTGCCCTACACCGGCCAGCACCTTGCAGAGGGCCCAGCACAGCCCTAGAAGGTTAAACGCCTGACGGATTGATCTATCCCTACCCGAATCCAGGTGCCTGTGTCACAGCCGCATGTCATCCACCAGAAGGCTAAGCAAAACGAAGTCGAAAGGCCACACACCTGAGAGGCTCGAGAGCCTGTCCCTGCCTGGCCACGCTGCTAGCTGGTGCGGGGGGCAGCACCATAGCTGCTTCAGCCCGTGTGCACGCCCCAGCTGTTAGCAGAACCTGTGGATGCAATGACGTATCCTTCCGTGGCCACCTCAAGCCACACGACAAAGAGGATCTGCAATTAAAACGGAGACTATCCAGGGTGGGCCTGACCTAATCAGATGGGCCCTTGAAAGGTTTAGGGGTCAGAGTCAGGGAGTCGCAGCAGCAGATGTCCTCGCAGTGGCCGTGAGGAAGCAAGCTGCACGTAGGACGGCGGGCCCGTGCAGCCTCCAGGGGCTGAGCACAGCCCCGCGGCCCCCAGCAACACAGAAACCTCACTCGAGCCACTGCAGGGAAACAAATTTTGCCAACAACCTGGGGTCACTTGGAAGTGGGTCTTCCCTAGTCCAGATGAGCGCACGGCCAGGCCCTCATGGCAGCCTGTGGGGCCCCAAGCAGAGGACCCGGCTGCACAGGGCCGGTTCTTGCTCTGCGGGAGGCAGGAGATGGCAGGTCTGGGTTGCCTTAACCTGCGAGGTGTGGGGTCCCGCGCTCTGCAGCACGGAAAACGAGGCCTGCCTTGGCCGGCCCCGCTGGGCAGCCCCCACCGTGGGCCCTGGACCTCGCATCATTCGTGAAGCAGCCCCTTCTGCATCCACAGGCTCGGCTGCAGACCTCTGCAAGATGGCCATGATCCACATCTTCACTGCAGTGGCCACGTCGCCCGCCCTGACGGCCAGGTCAGTGAGACAGGCACCTGACCGGGTGCGCGGACCCGCCTTTCTCACGGCCGGGAGGAGGCCCGTGGATCATCCCCGTCAACTCTGGGGCTGGACCACGTGCACGCACCTCCCAAGAGCAGAGCAGCCCCTTCCACATCCCACACGTGGGGCTCGATTCTGACAAGCTAGAGACCCAGACGAAGGGGCCCCCGGAGCCTGAGCTCCCGTCCCCACTCCCGGGAGGGCCCTCACCGCCCGACTCGGGCTGGGCCAGGCGCCCGAGGGTCGGCTCACGGCAGCTGCAGTCACAGCAGCCCGACTTCCTTGCGGCGCGAGGAGGCCTCTCGAGGTTCACCTGGCGCAGAAATGCATCCCCCCGGGAGTGCCCGCACCCTTCAGCCCAGCTCAAGGGGCACCACATGCAGCTGCCCGGCCCGGAGGTGGGTGCACCCCACGGACCCTCGGTCAGGACATGGAGACCCCAGACCGCCCCATTCCCCCTGCCTGCGGCCATCACCCTGGTGTGCGGGACACCCTGGCCCACCCCCAGCCAGCGCTCAGACGCCACTGACATGGGCCCAACCGCGGCCCCTGGGCCACAGCTCTCTCCACTTTCAGCCTCGGCCCCCGGTGTTCCCTGGGGGCGCCGCGTGACAAGGAGCTCCTGCCCAGCTCTGCTGGCCCAGAGCCACGCCTCGCAGCCACCCGGGGTCCCGGTGCCGGTGGCAGGGGCAGGTTCTCCTCCAGAACTCCCGGACCCCTTCCCTGCGGCCAGCCTGGAAGTCCCCCAGAGGAGCGAGTGTGCCGGACCCCAGCAGGTCCCCGTGGGTGTGTTTGCCGCGAGCCGGCCTGTCGCTGCAGACCAGCCCAGGGAGATAAGGTGGAGACGGGGCAAGGCAGCCCCTTCTCCAGCCCCGCGGTAGGGGAGGGGCTCATGCCCACTTGTGTCACCAGCACAGCCAGATAAGGGGCCTGCCTGCCTGCCACCCCCTTTCCATCCGAGGTTACAGTTTCCTCTTGACTTCGGTACCGTTTTACCTTCTCAAGGCAAGATTTCTTTCCTTATCTGAGACCCTGCATCTTTCCTTAAAAAGCCTTCTCCTGGCTCCTTCTTCACATATTTCCTACTGTTCATTTTGACTTTTGAGACTGTGTTCTTTTGGCAATTCCAGCAATTTTATACAGAAATGTGCCCCAGGCAAAGGCCCTGCCAGAGACTGTGGGTGGCATCCTAGCGAAGGAGTCGGGGGAGCCGGTCCTCAGGCCCCACAGAGAGGCCCCCTCGGCAGCCCAGCCAGGGGGGAGCGATGGAGGGCGGGCGTTACCCGGGGTGCCTATCCTGGGGTCTGGGCCACGCTCTGCAGCCACGGGGGGCGGGGGGGGGGCAAGAGCAGAATGTGAAACGCTCTCCTCTCAGAGCCCCCTGTCCCCTGCCGTCTGCTCCCCTGACGCCCCCACATCCTGGTGCCAGCCCCTCCCGTTATCCAGGACTCCTCAGGTCTTCCCTCCGGTCCCAGACCCGTGCGTCCTGCCCCGTGTGGTGTCTGTAGGTCCACTTAGCAGAGGTGCAAACAGCCTGTGCGAGCTTGGCCGAACCGAAGGCCACACGGTGGTCGTGCGTCTCTGAGATCGTACATCTGCTCGCCACGAGGACAGCTGTGTGACCTCCAGCCACCCGGCCACAGACCCGGGGCACCTATGACCAGGCCTTGCCCAGCACGGCGGGGCTCTCGCTGTCTTGGCCTCGGAAACGGGCCCGGGGGAGGCAAGAAGCCCAGCTGCGTGGTGAGGATCGGCCTCGATGAGCCTGGGCTCCGTGAGGCAGCAGGGCGGTGGGGTGGGGGGCCCCAGCAGCCCCTGGCCCACCCCCGAGGGCACGGCCAGCAGGTGGGCGTGAAGCAGGAAGGGCGAGGAGCGGTGACAGGCCCGTCTGCAGCTCTCGCGCACGGGGCCAGCTGGAGGCCAGAGGACACCCTGGCAACAACAGAGTCGAGCACGAGCGTCTCTGCGCCTCTTCTCTCTGGCGCCCCAGTTTCCACTTAGAAGTTTGGGAACGTCACAGTCCTCGGCGAGAGGGGTGTGTGAGTGACTCACAGCTCAGACCTATTCTTAGGTGGCTCAGAATTCACAGTGTCATTTCAGGAAGCGTGAAAACAGATTCTGCTAAACTGGAAAGTTATGAGTCCCTCTTCTGAGTTTCTGTCCATTTGAAAACTAAGTTCCCGTGGGAGCCGAGACCCCACTGGAGGCCTCGAAGTTCATTTAAGAAAGCAGAAGCAGGTCCCTACGGCCCTTGGCCAGAGACGGTGTGAAACGCAGGCACACGTCCCAGGCTGCAGGCCCCTGTGATGCCCCATGGACTCCGTGCCAGGGGACGTATGTGTGCGTGCTGTTGGTGACACAGGCCACCTGCGGCAGCTCAGACTCCAGAGGTGGACTTCTCTCCCATTGTAGAAATGCAGAATCCCACAATTGCTGACTTTGGTTCAAAGGTTCAGGGTGGTGGGACCGAGGTCCCTCTGGCTCCCTGTCCCTTTGCCTCCTGGTGCCCTGATGGCCGTGTCTGCCCCCGCCATCACAGCGCCCTGCCAGCAAAAGGAGAAGATAGTGGCGGTCAGAAAGACACCTGAGTCCTAGCCAGGTCGGCTTTTGAGAACCTCCTGGAAGCTGGCGGGCGTACACCTGAGGGGTCCCCCATCTGAGAGAGAGCCCGGGAAACTAGAGCTGGGGGCACCACCCCACCCGACAGCAAAGGGAGAGGGGAATGGATTGGGGTGGGCACTGTGAATCTCTGCTGCGGAGTCCTGTGTGTCTCCCCCAGGGCCTTGAGAGCTGCCCCCTCCCCAGCCAGGGCTGGCCGTCACGGTGACCACTGCCCAGTGGGTCTCGCCACACCTCTCCTGTGCGGCCCTGGTTTCCTGGTGCTTCAGGGGCCACAGCTCTGCCTCACAAGGCCTCTTCCCTCGCAGACTATGCCTGCAAAGTGACAAGGACCAGACGTGGCCTCTGACCTTGAAGGCCCAGTCCCGCAGACAGCAAGTCACACAGGGCAGAGCACACAGGTCCCTCCCTGGTGTCTGCCACCCTTCCTATGGGTCACCTGCACCATACCTCCCCTCCATGTGTATGCAGGGCCTGACACCTTCCTCTGCCCTGAGGGCAGGGCTGGCACCAGATCCTGGGCCACAGCCCCTGGCCAGTGTCACCTGCTCAAAGCACAGAAGTCAACCCAGATCCCACCTTCTACAGAATGCGTGAAATCTGGCATGTACTGGCTGAGTGCTGAGCCCAGCAATAGCCATGTTCTGTGCAGCCAGCATGGAGCTAGTGGGGACCAGTGCTCCGTCCCCTCCCTGTGCACACATTTGCACCTACCAGCCCCTTCACTCGAGCCTAAGCCCTCCCAAGACCCCTGGCCCTTGGTGCTGCGTTGCCCCCACACTTCTTCCACAGTCCAGGCCCCATCTCCCACAGGAGTACCTGAAGGGTCCAGCGGTACCTGAAGGGTCTTAGATAAAGGATGCTGATGAAGGATGGGGGCGCACCAGGGCTGATGGGGCACAGAGCCAGAGTGGCTTCGAGTGCAGAGAGGCTTCGAGTGCAGGGCTCTCTGGGTGATGGAATCCACGGGGCTCAGCCCCCAGGCCAAGTGGGGGGAAGGAAGGTCTCGGGGGTGTCCACAGCAAGGTGTCCAGATTGTAGGCAGCCTTCTTACCACGACCCACGAAAAGAGCTTTGACTCTATGGGAAGAAGAGTATGTCCAGGCCTGGCCAGGTACCCCAAGGGCACAGGGAGCCAGAGTCACTTCTAACCTGTGCCTCCCTCTCCCCTGGGACTGGCCTGGTGACAGGTGACCACAGGCAGCAGGCACTGGCTAGGTCTTCCTGCTCCCGCCAGTCACATCCTTCCATGGTGCCCTGTGTGTCCCCATCACTGCGTGAAGCTTGGTATCCAGACACCACATCTCAGGGTGACTCCCCACCCCCCTCCGTGTCTTCCAGGTTGGTCGCCCAGATCCACGATGAGCTGCTATTTGAGGTGGAAGATTCGCAGATCCCAGAGTTTGCAGGTGAGCCTGGGTGGCACAGTGCTGCCTTATCTCAGAGGCAGCTCTAGTAGCTGCCCCTCCTGGGGATTCAAGGCCACTTCCCTGCCTCTGGCGCCAGTCACCTGTACCCTGGCGGGGAGAGCGTGAGCCTGATTGAGGGACTCATGAAAGGCCTGGACGTGCCCCATCCTGGCCAGCAGCCCTCAGGGCACACCAGATGTTCCAGTGGGGGGTCCACCTCACTATCAGAACTCCTAGAGGACGGGGGCTCCCGTTCTGCAACCGCAGGCCTGGTGGCTCTCCTAGAGTGGGCACCCCGTCCTGCAGTAGGGACTCTGCCCTGTAAAGGACACTATGTCCTGCAGAGGGCGCTGCGTCCTACAGAGGGGGTTCCGTCCTGTAGTGGGGGCTCCGTCCTGCCGAGGGGGCTCCGTCCCGCAGAGGCCGCTCCGTCCTGCCGAGGGGGCTCCGTCCCGCAGAGGGCGCTCCGCCCTACAGAGGGGCCTCCGTCCCGCAGAGGCCGCTCCGTCCTGCAGAGGGGCCTCCATCCTGCAGAGGGCGCTCCGTCCTACAGAGGGGCCTCCATCCTGCAGTGGGGGCTCCGTCCTACAGAGGGCGCTCCGCCCTACAGAGGGGCCTCCGTCCTGCAGTGGGGGCTCCGTCCTGCAGAGGGCGCTCTGTCCTACGGTGGGGGGGGGTCTGTCCTGCAGAGGCAACTCCATCCCTCGGTGGGGTGGTTCTCTGCACAGTCCGTGTTTCCCCAGAAGGGTGAGGGGCCAAGGTCCCACCTCCTGCCCTTAAGAAACACCTGGACACTCCTCAAGCTCCCCAGGATGGCCGTGGCCACACCGCAGGCCTCCCGATGTGCATACCGGGGCTGGGGGCCATGCTGCCCTCCCAGGGACCCAACAGCCCCACACCGGCAGCCTCCGCCGCGGCTCCCTCCCTCCCAACACCAGCAGTGCCCTCTGCGCAGCACCCAGGAGACAAGGCCGCGGCCCTCAAATAACTGCTGACCCGCTTCAGGCATCCAGAGATGGGTTCCCCAGGGAGCTGGCCAGTTAACCCCCGAGGCGCAGCAGAGAGAGAACAAGGCGGCTCCCAGCCATTCCTAGGGCCCTTCTGTCACAGTCTTTGTATTGAAAGTTGCTAATGACTTGGAAGGATGGAATGAAATATTTGTTGACCAAAGGGACAGAAGACTTCAGAGCAAACTCAGAAACACTGACGGCTGACCCCTCCCCGCCCGGGCCACTCCGCTTCTCAGGGCTGGAGGCAGGTGTCCTGTGCTGACCCAGGCCACGCAGCAGGGCCAGCACCACGGGGCTGCCCCCACGTCACCGTCACGTGGAAACCCAGGGGGAAGACGCGGGGGGCACGGGCCCGGCGCTGCCCTGCGATCCTCCCTCCTCCCAGCCTCAGAGCCTCCGCACAGAACGGGAGCCCCAGCACCGTGCTCGCCCCCAGTCCCGCCGGGCCAGGCCCCCACTGGCTGAGGTCAGCGGCAGAGAAACCGCTGTACAGCCAGGAGGGCCCTTTGGCCCCAGGGACCCACGGTTGGCGCAGTCACACTGCCTTCGAGCCTGTGCCACGGATGTGGCCGGTGGGAGGTGGAACTAGCCACAGAGTAATGTGGGGGCTGCCCGACCCGCTAGCATAGGTGACCGTGTGGACCCAGGAAATAACAGAGGAGCCTGGGGGCCGGGCTGGGCTGGGCCTTCCCGCGGGCGTGTCTGCGCAGCCGGCTTGGGGCCACCTCCTCTTTCCCTTTGTTCCAGCTCTTGTCAGGGGGACCATGGAGTCCCTGCAACACGTGCAGACCTCGGGGCTGCACCTGCAGGTGAGTCGCCGGCAGGCCCCGCTCCACTGCCAGGCCCAGGCCCCTCCCGGCGGCGTCCTCCCAGCCAGAGCCACCCCCACGGGACAGGAGAGTCCTGAGCCCCCACAGTGCTGCCCCCCCCCACCTTCCCCATGGTTCCGGGAGGCCCAGGAAGCCGAACCCCACCCCACCCGTAGTCCTGCAGGGGCGGGGGGCAGCAGCTCTGGGCAGGAGGGAGCTGTTGAGCCACGGTTGAGGGTCTTGGCAAGGTCCCACCCAGGGTTAGGGTCCCTGGGAGGGCTCTCCAGCTGCCCCCCTTGGCTCTCTCAGAACCAGCCGATCCCCAGGGAGCGGGACCCTAAGGTGGTGAGCACAGGTCAGCGCCTGGCCCGGCCCAGCCCCCACAGGCCTGCTCCCTGGCACAGAGGCCTTGGCAGGTCAGGTGAGGTACACGGCCAAGGTCGAGGCATTATGACGTGGGGTGGATGTGGCCTGCCTTCTGTCACTGCGAGCGTGCGCGTAGGCATCTGTCCACAACAGCGCACGCTGGCTGTGTCTGATCACGTCTTCGGGCAGGTGCGGGCCCGTGTCCGCCTGCGTGTGGGCTTCGGTGCTGGCCCGGGCCGGGTGCTCAACGCTGGCTGCTGCCCACAGGTGCCCCTGAAGGTGAGCCTGAGTGCCGGCCGCTCGTGGGGACACCTGGTGCCGCTGCGGGAGGCCCCGGGCCCTGGGCCCAGCCTGCGCCCTGCGGAGTCTCCAAGCAACCGCCCGGCCCCCGCCAGCCCCCGTGCCGGCACCTACCCCCGGTGCGCACATTTTTCCCCTTCATTTTGTCTGTAGCCCCAGGCAACAGTGGGAGGAGAGAACTGGTTTCCACCAGCCCGTCGTGTGGCCGTCCCCAAGGTCAGCACTGGGCGCTTTGTACTGGCTCCGTGGCCAGAGCAGGCTGTGGAGGGGGCCGCACCTCACCCCCTGGGTTGTCCCCTGGAGTAAAAGCCTTTTCAAAGCCGGCTCCGTCTCTGTCCAAATGAATTCTTCCCAGGGACGGAAGACCCTGGGCTGAGTGCCTGACACGTGGCAGGTGCCCCCGGTCCAGGAGCCTCCCAGCTGCTTCCCACCCGGCGGGCACCCTCCCTGCCAGCTCCCGGGGCCTCCCTCCTGCACAGAGCACACAGCGCTGCAGGCACTGGCTGTGCTCACCGCCGACACCACGGACAGGCCAGAGGGGCCTCTGGAGTCACGCTCCTGGGCCCCACGGCCTCCCGCCAGCCAGCTCCTCTGAGTCTCCTCTCAAAGTGGCTCTCTCAGACCCTCCAGGGCCAAGAAGAGCCCAGACCGTGCACCCCAGCAGCCTCACAGCAGACAGTGACCGAGGTGCCCCTTTTATAGTGGGGAAACTGAGGCACAAAATGGTCACATCATCGTACAAGCCCATCTGGCTAATAAATGCCAGGTCTGACCGCACCCCTGCTCTGCGGCCTCTGCATCACAGCCCCTGGAAATGTGGCCTGGGGTCCCGTTGCCAGACCACCTGGCACCCCCAGGGGCCTCCCCTCCCACATATGAGCTGCTCTTCTAAGTGGTGACTGGGGTTTCCACACCGCCCTCCTTGCAGAGTCCGCTACACAAGGCACCCCTTTTCTGCCGTGCCCAGGCCTCTTTTACCTGTGGCTTCAAGATAGCATCGCTGTTTTCACGGGGCGTGCAAGGATCTATATAGCCAGTCCTGACAGTTGTGTGATGGAACATTCCAGAATCCAGAAAGGGCAGGGAATTGCCACCCAGCCCCTCCATGCCAGCCGTGGGTATGTGTGGCATGTCTTTATGCAGCCACCTCAGAGGCATAGCCACTGTGGGACTTCACACACGACGTCTTAGGAAACAACTCAGCTCAGGCTGACGTCCAAATAGGCCTTGTGCCCCCTGGGCCAGAGCGTGCTGCCCAGGGAAGCTGGTGTCCTCAGGCTTCGAGACCACAGACACTGGCTTCAACTCAGCCGGCCCAAGGGCCTGTCCGAGGCCCTGCCTGTGGCAGGAGGGGACACCCTGGAGTCAGGGACAGCCGAGGTGGCCCCTCTCAGGAAGGGCAAGCCCACCGCAGTGAACCGTCTGGGGCCAGGTGGCACCTCAGTGTCCCCGAGCCGCCTCCTCACCCCATTTCTGGGCCTGGACTCCCTCCCGTACACCAGGAGAGCGGTGGGCCTGACGCCGCGGCCTGGCCCCACACCTCCCGCTGAGCCGGTCACTCCTTAGCGGTGCCATGCAGGCACGCTGATGCCCGGGCCTGCAGTGGAGCCCTGGCCAGGGCAGCAGCACAGGGCCAGCAGCCTCGGCCCCCACGGTCGCCCAGCACCTGCCCCAGCCCCCAAGGAGGAGTCCGGCATCTCCAGAAAAGCGGCCCTTCCTGGTGAAGTGTGAGCGGGGCCCTCAAGGAAGCACAGGAGCCCAGTTCGGTCAAGTCTGGTTTTATTGAGAAACAGCAGCATCCGGGGCCGTGTAGGCAAAGGAGCCACAGCACCCCCCACCCCTCCGGCTGCTCACACGCCCGCAGGAGGCCTGGGGCCCCCACCCACCCCCGGCCCTGCGGCCCGTCTCCTCCGGGGTTCGGCGGCTGCCGCTCCGGGCCTCCCAGGGGCTGTGTCGGTGCATCCTGGGGTCCCAGAACAGTTGCCACAGTTGTGGACGCAAACGGTAAACCACAGGAAGTGCCACCAGCCACCATGACATGGCCTGGGCTCTGCTCACCCAAAGACACAGTGTCCATGGCAGCCATGGTCACACAGCCTGGCCAAGGTGATGCCGGGTCATCAGCCCTGATCTCAGCCTGGTCCAGCCGCGTGTCCACCTGCCACTCTCCCCACACGCCTGGAGGCCAGGGACAGGCTCGCTCTGGGCCACCCCTGCTTCCCTCGGGCCCGGCCAGTGCCCGCCACCGGGGAGCGGGGACACTACATTCAAGGTCCGCTGGGCCCTGGGGCAGGGAGGGGCCCAGCGCTGAGCCGTGCACGCGCCACCTGCCGGGACCCCGCTCCCCGGCACAGGGCTCGGGGCCAGCCCGTCCAGGCCGCACGCCAGGTGCCCTCCCTGTCACCGGAACCTTGTACATGTGCGCACACACATGCACGTCCACACAGGCACAGGCATGCACGTGCACATACGGGGAGCACACGTGTGCATACACATAGGCACACATACACGTGTGCACACGCACACAACCACACAGGCAGGCACACACCAGACACACTCCTTCAAAATGACTAATTATTGCTGTTAAAAACAATACATCCAACAATGGCAGGCCGGGGCTCCGCTCCTGCACCCCAGGCCCCCGGCCGCCCCACCCACAGCACTGCTGGAAGCATGTCGTCAGCACCAAGGAGCAAACAGTCCAGGACCTGCCCCACACCCAGCCTCGAACACAAGCCCCAAAGCCTCCGCCAAAGCACGGCGAGCACAGGGACACGGGCGAGGCCTGACACACTCACTGGAGCAGCCTCACACAGACGCAGGAGCGACGCTGCCCACCTGGCTGGGGCGGGGGGGGGGTTCCCGAGGCCCGGGGGCCACCGTCCAGCCACCCCTTGGACACCGACAGGAAGGTTGCCTCGGGGGAGCTGCCCAGCGCAGCGAGGCCCTCGGCTCAGGGCCACATATGCCAGCCGCCCCCAGGGCAGGCAGGGGCAGTCACTCACCCTGTGGCCCAGCGAGCCTCCCAAGCACTTGCCAGATACCCGAGGAAGCCATGTGAGGGGCGCCCCCCACCTGTCCCCTCTAAAGGGCTCTGTGAGGAAGGGGGCCCAGGGCAGGATGAGGGCTGCCCACGGACCCCGGGCCTCGGGTTTTAGGACCTGTCAGCTCCAGCCTGTCTCCCAGGGCCGGCCCCCCGACTCCCTGGGGGCAGCTGGCCCCGTCTCTCTGCCCCATCCACCCAAGGTCAGCAGTGGGAGGCCAGGCTGGACACGGGTACAGATGAAAGCTGAGAGACGTCACCGGGGCCCCACGTGGCTGGCCTCTATATGCAGACTCACCCGGGCCACCACTCAGGGGCCAGCTCTCGGCAGACCCCAGGGACAGCTCACAGCCACCCGCCGGGACTCTGGTGGCTCCGGACCAGCCCGAGGGCCAGAGCCCTCAGCTGCCCTGAATCCCACTGCCGGGAGCTGCCCATCAGGTCTACACTCCAGGCTCATCTCACAAAAGCATTCTGGAACACTCCACCTCCTGCATTCCAGTCCCCAAACAGAGGCTTCCAAAAGTCCTTGAGCCCTGTCTTCTGAGCATGGGTGCCAGGCCTGGGGGCCGGCTTTCCCTGGGCCCCGGCAGGCACCGCGGAGGGAGGCCCAGCAGGCGGGGGAGCAGGGCCCCAGGAGGGTACTTCACAGAGGTAGAAGAAGTAACGTCAGAATTTCTACAAATGTATAAAATTCACATCTCAGTGCACGTTTGTGGAGCGGTTAGCTCCCAAGCTGGAGGGAGGGGGCAGGCCAGCGACAGGCATCCCCCACCAGTGTGCCCAGCCTCCAGCCGAGGGGACGGACCGGGGGTCCGCTCCCCCAGGCATCCTCGGGGCCCACGGAGCTGCGCCCCGGCCAGGCGAAGGCCCTGTCCCGGGCACGGGGGGCACCCAGCCTGGTGAGCACACAGGAGCCTGTGCCCACAGCAGCTGGGCAGCAGGGCTCCAGACACACGGCCACCCCGTCAGGCCCCTCCTGGCATCTCCCCTAAGTCCTGGCAGCAGTGAAAGGGCAGGAAAGAAAGGTGTGGAGTCCAGCCAGCGCCACTACCCTCCGGGCCGTCCCCCTGGGGAAGGCGCCGCGGCCCACACGGGCACACAGAGGCCAGCAGGGCCGTGGGGGGCCACGCCTCCGCCCAGGAACAGCCCCAGTGACCTGCTTTGGTCAACGTCGACCAGGTGCTGGCGGCTCGGGAGCCCCAGCCCCGCGGCCCCACCCACACGCCCCCACACCAGGGGCCAGAGGCTCCAAAGGCACAGGATCAATGGAAGCTGGCAGCGTCCCCAGGCTACCACCGACAAGACAGGACCCACCATGCTGGCCCCGAGCGGCCCCCACCTGCCCTTCCTGCCCGGCCAGGCCTCAGACCAGCCACAGCCCCCGCCACGCCCCGCACCAACTGAGGCCGCCCCAAGCCGAAACCAAACCAAACAAAAAGAGGAAAAAGGCACAACTGTTTGTTTTCCATTTTGCTAAAACACTTTACGTCTGTCTGTATAATCCAGATTAACAAAATCTGAGAGCTGCAAGAAAATAGGGTGCCGATTTCTGTACAGTCTACAAAACTCCCATCCCCGAGCAGGGACCGGACGCCACCAGGGAGAAATGTACAGGGGAGAGCGGGGTCTGTACAATGTTCTGCAAATATCTCAATTGCTGACGGACAAAAGGCCCCTCGGGAAACTGGGCTCGTTTTACTCGTTTGCTGATCTCCAGAGTGCCTTTTGAAGAACGTCCCCTCTGTGTCCCGTCCACGGGACCCAGCTCAGCGGCCCTCTGTGCCCGCCTCTCCCCCTCTCCTACCCCATCAAGTAGAAGGGCCTTGGTGGCCATGTATGCCCCTCCTGTCCCCACGGCCAGCTCCAGGCTCACAAGCTGGAGGAGTGGGCACTGCCAACCACCCCCTCCCCCCCCCCCCCCCCCCCCCCCCCCCCCCCCCCCCCCCCCCCCCCCCCCCCCCGTCCAGGCCACCCCACACCTGACAGCCACCTCCCACCTCAGAGGGAGAGGCCGGGAGGCAGGGGCATGCTGGCACCCCCCCGCCAAGGTGGACAGCGCCCGCTCCTCCCAGAGGCATGCTGCCATCCTGAGCCCAATCCTACAAGCCACGGCTGGACAGGACAGCCCAGAGCCTCCCCACAAACCAGGGGTACCCTATAGGGGGAAAGGGTGCTGAGTCAGGGTTCTCCCGGCACCCACCCGGCCACCCACCCCCACCACACTGGGCCAGAAGTAGTGCATGTTCTAGACAGGTGTGTGTGTGTGTGTGCGCGCGCGCGTGTGGGCGCGCGTGCACGCGCAGGTGTGTATAGGTAGAAACTACCATTTTGTCCCAAGAATTAAAGTCATGCAGGTGCTATTCTGTCTAAATAACTTATTAAAAAACAGGTCGGTTTCAGGCTGGGAGAAGCTGTGGGCTCAGTGGTGTTGGCAGCGGCCTGGCTTAGTAAAGTAAGATTCACAGGGCAGAGCCCGTCAGCCGCGAGGCAGGGCGGTCCTCGGGGAGGTCTGGGGAGGGCCGCCGTACTCTAGCTGGCACTGGGGAGTGGCGACCACGTGACTGCCTCCCCATCCTGCTCCCCTGAAGGACCCTGACCAGGCTGTGCCACAGCTTGCCACGGAAACCCCACGTGGGTGATGATGCCAGTCAGCGAAGCCGGGGTGGGGGAGGGGCAGGGGCCGAAAGGAAAGAAGTGTGACTCGATGTCAAAGCAAAGCCGGGCTGGGTGGAGCGAGGGGTGGAGAGAGATAGGCACGCCGTCCGGGGGGCAGGCGGGCTGCCGTGGCTAGCAGCTCATGGGCCGGGCAGGGGGCGCTCACCGGTGGAGACCCAGTCCACGCAGGGCAGCAGGGCGGGAGGCTGAGGGGCATGCGGCATGCTGCAGCCAGGCCGCGGCCTCGGCATGCACAGAGCAAAGCGGCGCCCGCGGCCAGCTCCGTGCCCCGGGGAGCAGTGGACGGCGGGCCTGGCGGGCCACGCCTCCCGGGGACGGACGGCCGAGCCGGAGCCTGGCTGGCGGCCGGGGGGCTGCAGCGCAAGGGCCTCGCCGGGAGGTCCTGGGCTCGGTGGGCCAGGACGGGCCTGCCCCGCGGGCAGCGGGCGGGCAGAGGCCCCCGGAGCAGGCCGGGCAGCCGTGTGGACGCGTGGCGGTCCATGCTGTCACTCTTCAGGGTGCAGCCCGAGCAGGCCGGAGAGGGTGAGGGGCCGCGGCTGCGAGCAGCCTGGCCCCAGAAGTGTCACAGACGAGCAACAGCCCCACAGCCCCGGAGAACCAGCCAGAGAACCGCGTGGTGTCGAAAAGGGAAAACCCAACACGAACGCCAAGGTGAGCGTCTGAAAGCGGGCCCGGGCGGCGGGCAGGCGGGCACAGGCGGACGGGGTGGCCGGGGCGCAGGTGGGCAGGCGGGTGGGCAGCGGTCACTCCTCGCGCAGCTGCAGGCGGTAGCGGTGGTAGCGGACCTGGAAGAAGAGGCGTTCGGCCAGCGACAGGGTCATGCCGGGCAGCACATAGTGGTCACTCGAGCCCATGTGTCTGAAGCCCAGCGACTCGTACAGCTTGTGTGCGGCCACCTTGACGGCCGTCGTGCCCAACACCACCGCCGAGTAGTTGTGCACCAGAGCGAACTCCAACACCTTGCGGCCCAGCGCCTTGGCGATGCCCTTGCCACGGAAACGCGAGTCCACGGACATGCGCAGCAGCTCCACCGTGTTGTCTGCCTCGTGGGCCCGCGCCGCCACGATGCCCACCACGTTGCCATCCAGCACGGCCACCCAGAAGCAGGAGCCTGCAGGGACAGGGAAGTCAGAGCCGCTGCGTGACACGGCCACCCCTCCAGAACCCTCTGGGCGCAAAGCGCCGGGCCCAACCTGCAGCGGCCCTGGGGCGGCCCCTGCCCTGGGCCTGAGGCCCTCCCCCAGAGACCAAGAGCTGGGCAGGCCTCCGCCAAACAGACCCCTCCTCTGCCCAGCCACCCCCAGAACGAATTCCTGGATGGCCGTGGATGGCCACACAGACGGGCCACGGGTGCGGCTGACCTGCCCTGGCTTTCCGCCCCTTGGGGCTCTGCACACCGGCTGCCCTGTGTCCACGCCAGACGGCTGGAGAGAGGTGGGTGCCGTGAGGGCACATCCCCCTACACTGGGGACCTCAGGGGGTCTGGGAGGACAGGCCAGGGCAGCAGGACCCCTCTGGGAGCCATGCCCCCGGGGGCCTCAGGAGGTCTCGGGCCTCAGGCTGTGCCAGCCCTGTGGCCTCCACTCTCCTGGGCTGGGAGCTGCGGAGCCTGGGAGCCCCGTGGCCTGCTTGGAACAGGACACAGAAGCGGGTCCCGGCAGGCTCAGGAGAAGGTCCAAGTGGAGAAGCAGGAGGGATGGACACGGGCACCGCTGCGCGCCCCCCACTGACCCGGGCCTCTCCTGGGCAGCGAGCCCAGTGGCCAGGCCGGCCCCACCCACGGCCTGGACCAATCACAGCCCCACGCAGGGCAGAAGACGAGGCCGAAGGGGGGTGAGGGGAGAAGGAAGAGGAGAGAGAATCAACACGGGAGGAGAAGGCCCCCAGGACACGGGCCACAGGGACCAGCCGGTCGCCTCTGCTGACCACAGGCCCAGACGCCACGGGAGGTAGGGCCCGGCCGGGAGGGGGTCCACTCTGAGCACCCCTACCTGCACGCGCCCTGCCCTGCCTTCCACCAGCCACCCCCACCTGCTCCCCTTGAGTGGCCAACTCTCCCCCGTAAAGGGTCTGCGCCTGACCTTGCCCAGTGACCTCACTCTTCCGCCCGACCCGACCCCCAGGGGTCCCCCACTGTCTCATCTGCCAGCAAGGCCCCCATCAGCCCGTCAGCTCGGCCAAGGGGTCTCCGGTCTCCTTCCCTGGAGCCAGAGCTCAGGCATGGCCGCGGGCTCCCCGTCCTGACCCCCCTCCCCCCCCCCCCCCCCCCCCCCCCCCCCCCCCCCCCCCCCCCCCCCCCAGCCTACCAACCATCAGGGTTTCTGGCCCTCCGCCTCCCCACACACCCAGGCCAGGCCGAGTCTCCCTGGCCCCTGAGCAGCACGGCGCTGCCCGCTCGCCTCCCGGCCCCCGTGGCCCCTTCCTGCAACCCCTGGACGTCTTAGGGGGCGGGCAGGGCACACCTCGTACTCACACCCAGGGAGACGGTGGCCCAGAAAAAGCGGGGCCGACAGCAGGGTCCCCGGTCCCCCCAGCCCCCAGCCCCCAGCCCGAGCCCCGCCCTGCTCCTGCAGCCTGGGCACCAGCTGGGTGGGCTTCACCCTTCCGCTGACACAAGCACTCCACAGAGGCTGAGAAGAGGCTGAGTTCAAGCTTAGGGAAGGGGCCAGGAGAACCGAAAGTGCCACAGGGGTGGGAATGGGGGGGGGGGGGCAGGACAGGGCAGGCGGGCAGGGAGCTGGCGGTGCCAAGGTGGGGCACCCTTGCTGCTTGCCGCTCTTGTCCCCGTGCCCCGCAGCCCCTGCCTGGCACTCCCCAGGCTCCTCCTCTACCCTCACCAACCGTTCGGGCCCATTCGGTCCCCTCTCCTCAGCCTGGGAACCCTCCAGCATCTGGGGGACCCCCACCCCCCAGAGGCCAGGCTCCCTCCTCCAGCTCAGGACGTGGAGAGAAACATGCGGCCTCGCCTCCCAGGACGCAGCCTGCCTCAGCCCCCAGGCAGCTGCAGACCCTTCCAGACCAGACCCAGGCCCCCCTCCAGGGGCAAGACCCTCTGCCTCGCTGAGGCCCAGAGAGAAGTGGAGGCGAGACTGAAAACCCCAGCCCCTGTGGGCTCACAGCCCTCCCCCACCCTGCTGAGACCCTTCTCGTCACCGTGATGTCCCCTCCACCGGCCCCTGGCGCACCCGGCCAGCCCCAGATGCAGCAGAGCACAGCGGAGGGGCCCGTGGGGAGTGAGGAAGACCCCACTGGCTCTGAGCTGCCAGCACCAGGGAAAGGGCATGGCGAAGGCGGCAGAGCCCGACGGTCAGCCCTGGCGGCTCAGGACACACGCGCCTGCCCTCACGGGAGGCAGGACAGAAGCCCGGGTCTGTGTGGACACTCGGGGGCCTTGCTTCAGCACCAAGGACCTAGCTCTGCCTCCCTGGCCGCGGGCCCGCTGCACCCCCACCCCCTGGCCCGAGCCCTCAGTCACTCAGCAGACTCAGGGCCCCAGCCCAGGCCCGGCCCGGCCCGCAGGAGGGGCTGTGGGAGCGGAGGGGCGGGAGCCCGCAGACTCACCGGGGGGCTTCATGTAGTACTGCTCGATGTCGGCCATGTCCGTGTGCAGAGCGCAGTCCAGGTAGGCGAGGACCACCTTCCGGCTGTAGTAGTAGCGCAGGCCCAGCAGCCCCGCCGGCACCAGGCAGGTCAGCAGCAGCGAGCGGGTCAGGGCGAAGCACAGCACTGCGGGGACAGGCGGCGGGTGAGCCGCGCCGGCCGGGGGCGTCGGCACCCGCGCCCCGCGCCCCGCGCCCCGCCACGGCCGCTCCGTGGGAGCCGCGGTCAGCCCGGCTGCTGCCTCCTCCCCCGTCAGCAAACTTCCTACCGTCAGGACGCGCCGCTGGAACCCGACATCACGGGACTTCTCAGCGTTCCCAGCACAGCGGCCTCGGGGCAGCCCCCCCGCCGCGGCTGGCACCCCTCCCCCCACCACGGGCACGGCTCCCCCCCCCACCGGTCCCCAAGTGGAAGGGGCTGTGCATCCATCCCTGCGCACTCGACAGAGGCTTGGACAGGCTGTCCCACCTTGTTAACTTGGGGAGTCGCAGGGGGCACCTTCCAGCAGAGGGCCCAAGGGCCAGCCCCTCGGTGTTCTGGGGGGAGGGGGATGGGGGGGAAGCTCGAGATTGTTTCCAGACCCATCTAGGCTGCCAGGAGGCAGACGCGCCTGCAGTGAAAGTCACTTTTTCTGCATGACCTTGGGAGAGTAACCCACCCCCAGCCTCAAGCTCCTCATCTGTGAAATGGGGACAATCACCCTCCCGGGCTCCATGGGAAAGGCCGCAAAGTCCTGGCGGAGGCTGCTCCCTCAGCCCCCTCGCTCTGCGTCCTCGGTGCTCACCCTCCCCCGGCACCCCGGGGAGCTGGCTGTCTTCCCCTCATAAATTAGCACTTGGAGCCGCCGAGGCAGCCTCCCCCGCCCCGCAGATTATATATAGTTACACGCGCCAGGCGCCGAGCCGCGGGCGCTACCTGCCGCCGCCCCGTCCCCACCCGGGATGACCGCGGACCGGACGCGAGGCGCAGCCGGACCGAGAGGGGACGCAGGTGGAGACCTCGGCTCCCCCCGCCCTCGCCCCGCCCGCAGTCCCCGACCCTCCGCCGGCGCTCGTTCCCACGCCCCCACCCGGCGCGCCTTGGCCGCGAGCCCGGACGCCGCCGCCGGTGGCCACCTCGCCCCAGGCCACCGCGGGAAGCCGGCGGCGCGCGGGTGCGCGTCCGTGCGCGTGCGAGGGGCCTGCGGGGTCCGCTCGCCCCAGGACCGGGGGCGCCCCCGCGGCCCGGGCCGCGAGGTGGGGGCGAGCGCGCCCAGGGCGCCCGCGGACTGCGGCAGGCGGGGCGCGGCGGGGCCCGCGCACTGACCGGCCAGCAGGGCGTAGAGCAGCTGCGTGCGCGGGTGCTGCCGCAGGCCGCGGAAGGCCGTGTTGGGGATGCGCTCCATGATGCCGTCGTAGAAGATGCGGCGCGCCGCCTCCTGCTCGGCCGCGCGGAACTCGCGGATGTACACGCCGCGACCCTCCGGCGGCCCCGCGGCCCCCGCGCCGGCGCGGGGCGGGGGGCCGGGCGCGGGCGGGGGCGCGGCGGGCGCGGCGGCCGGCCCGGGCGCGGCGGGGAGCGGGGGCCACATGGCGCCGGCGGCGGCGAGCAGTGCGTCCTTCTTGGCCCCCGGCAGCGCCTCATGGTCCTCGGCGGCCACGATCTTCGTCTCGCAGACCATGTCGGGAGGCCCACAATGCATGCACCCGGCCGGGCGGCGCAGCGCAGGGACGCGGGCCGGGCTGCGGGCGGGCACAGCCCGGGCCCAGGGCAAGGGCGCGGCGCCCTCGGACCGGCGGCGGCGGCGGCGGCGGCGGCGGCGGCGGCTCAGGGGCGCGGGGCGGAGGCGGCGGGCGGCCGGGGCGCGCGCAGGGAGCTGCGCCGCATTTTGGAGAAGTATTTATAATGCAGCGGCGCCGGTGCAGTCGCGGCGCCCGGGGTCCCGCAGGGTCCTAGCGTCCACTGCATTGGCTGCCGAGGGTCACCATGTGATCTCGGGGGTGGGAGCAGACACCGCCTCCACGCCCGCCCGATGGCACACTCGGGCGCTGCGCCGCGGCCGGGTGCGGGCGGCAGGCGGGAGTGCGCCTGGGCGGGGGCGGCGCGGGCAGCCCGGGGCGCGACGGAGCGGCCGAGCCCCGCCAGGTGGCCGGGGACGAGCGAGCGCGCGGCCGGGGTTCCCGGCCCGGAGGGGGCGCTCCGCGGGGCTCCCGGCGGGGCTCCTCCCGCCCGGCCGCGGCGCCCCCGCGCCGCCACCCCTCAGCGCGGGACTGGGAGCGCCGGGTCCTGGGGCCGGGCCGCCGGAGCCCGCAACGCCGCCGGGCGCAGTCACGGAACCGTCTCCGTCTCCATCTCCTGCCCCTTTGTCTGAGTGTGACGCCGGGCCGCGGCCCTGAGGAGGAGAGCCGCGGCCTCCCCGGCCTGGCGCCCCTGGGAACCTGCGCCCCGGGGCCACACGGGCTGGACGCGCGTGTGCGCGGTCGGAGCAGGCACTGATGCCCGGATCGCCAGCAGCCCACCCCGCATCCGGGCGCAGCTCAGCAACCTTCTGCTCCGACACCGAATCCCCGCAGCTGGCACGGGGGGCGCTGGGCCGGTAGGACCCCTCCCGGCCCGGCCCCCCGCCCTCCCTGGCCCGCGCATGCGCTCCACAATCTCGGTGCAGGTGCGGCGGGGGGGGGAGGGTTCTTGCCGAGTCTCCCCGGTCCCCGCGAGCCCTACCCGCCTGCCGACGTTGCGGGCTGGGGGTGGGGGTGGGGGCAGGTCGGGTTAGGGTGGTCCCAGATCCCGTCCTAACACTTTATGAACCCAGCCCCTTGCAGCTGTGCGCCCCCTCCCCGCGCCCTTTCCCGGGTCGCCCCGCATTCCCCGCGGTGAACCCCCCAGGGCAGCCTGGAGCTGAGTTGACCGCACCCTCGTGGTTGGAGTCGAGACCTAGGGGATCAGGCCTAAGGACCCTTAACCTGCCTTGAGGCCCAGCGAGGCCGCTACGACCCCCTGGAGGCTAGGAAAGGGACTAGCCCTCGCCAGCGTCACGTCGAGGGACCCCGGCACCGAGGGGAGGACGCTGGACCCGGGAGCTGGCCAGGATCGCCCATACGCGGGCCGTGCAGGGAGGGGGCAGCCGAAACGGGAAGTCAGCCCACATCAGATTTCCCAGACGCCAGGGCTTGTCTGGCGCTCATCTTCCAGGAGAGGGAAGTGGAAGCGTGGAGACTGTCACAGGAGCCCCGGATCCTTCAGAAATGCCTGCGTGTGTGCCTGCGTGTGCGGGAGGCCCTGCCCCCGCGGGACCGGGCTCCAGGGGGTCCCGAGTTTGACCAGGTGGATGGCAGAAGTGTTGCAATGCCAACATCATTAGCAGGGGTTCCAGGCAGGAAGAACAAGGAATGGGGGGGGAGGGAGTGGCTGATGTGCCTGGAGGGGTCAGGCGGCTTCAGAGAAAGGGCTGGCACAGCTTGGGACGCGAGCCCTGAGCACCGTATCAGGGATCTGGGGAACACCGGTGTGCTGTGATGGGGGCCAGGGGGAGGGTCCAGCAGCTCCCGGGCAGTGCCCTGATCCCTGACCTCTGATCCCAGACTTGATGTGAAGAGGGCCCTCGGTGCAGAGTGGCCCAGCCCCTATAGGGTCACAGCCTCTGCTGGCTACCACCCACCGCACCTCACCCCCAGCCCCTGAGCTCGAGGCTACCCCTCCCTTGGCCCCCATCAGTCAAGTCCATGGATGGAGGAAAGGACCCAGTCTTCCACTCAGCCTGACTGGTGGCCCCTCAGCTCTGCATCCACAGAGTCTCCTCCCTCCAGGTGGCCTGACCTCACCCTCAGCCCCAAGTCCTTGAAAGTCCCCCCCCACCCCACCCCCATAATGGCTTGGCTGGCCTAGCACTGCCACTTCCTGGCCCTGCAGAGTGCTGGGATGGGGTGGGGAGAGGCAGCCAGACTCAGCCTGCAAGGGGCAGAGCCGGACCCCAGGGACAGCCACCAGGGGAGGGCCTGGGCTTTAGCGCTCCGAGTAGGGGTGGCCTTAAAGGGAAGTCTGCGCAGGCAGCAGGGTGCTCCCAGGCCCACCACTGAGCCTGTCTCCTCCGGGTGATGTGAAGTGCCCCCTGCACACCCTCTGCCCGCATTAGGAACCCATTTCACAGACAAAGAAACCAAGGCTCACGAGGTCGGGGCTGGTGCCTTCTCCCCACCCATTCCCCCTTGCACCCCACTGGCTTCTGCTGCTCCGGGGTCTCCTCCCCACCCAAGATGCCAGGGCTGCCCCGACCACCTTTAATTTCACCCTGTCCCCCTTCGGTCCAGACACCGCAGTCAGAGCTAGACAGGGGCCCAGGGGAAGTGGAGCGTGTCGGTGGGGCGGGACCCCTCCAGGGCTCCAAAGGTCAAGGAGAGAGGACCCCCTCGCTAGGTGCTGGGAGGGGGCACCAAACACGGGGTGGTGCATTAGCAGAACAGCCTTCACCCCAGGTGAGGATGGGGCCCGTGGGCCCCCCGGGGCAGACACACAGGCACTCCGAGGAGGACGTGACAAGGGCCAGCCGGTCCCTCCCTACAGGGGAACTGGGGACTGAGCCTGAAGCTTGGCCAGCAGCAGAGGCACAGGGACCTGGGGAGTGACAGGGGTGGGTGGCAGCGCCGGGGGAAGGCCGAGGGGTCTCCAGGGAAGTGGACCAAAAGACCACGGGGTGGGCAGAAAAAGAACAGATGAGATGGGAAGTCTGTGTGCAACTGACAGGTGCTGCCCCAAGAGAAGAGGGGAGGGAAGGGCCATAACAGTGGTTATTAGGACTCCCCCAAGCTAAGGGACTGAGCAAAGCCTGCCCAGCACCCTGTGTGCACCTTCAGTCCCCAGAGCTTCCTGAGAGGGGAGGGAGAGAAGCTCCTAACAGGCACCAGCTGCCAGCCACTGGAGGTGGGGGGCCCCAAACCGCTCAAGCTCCTCACCCAGAGTTCATGACCCAGCACCCATCCTTCCCTTCCACACAGGTTCAGTGAGTGCCCACCCTCTTCTGGGCTCTGAAAAGAACAAAGCCCTGTTCTTCTGAGGCTTTCCAACCCAGCCCTTAGGGACAAACAAACCAAAAAAAGGAAGGTAGGATACGGGACTAAAGAATGAGACAGGTCAAGGAGGAGACCAAGTGGGTAACTCCGTGGAGTGGCGACAGCCTGTGCAAAGGCCCTGAGGCAGGAAGGGCTATGAATTGAACATGCAAGCAAAAGGTATTTTCAGACAGGCCAGCTCAGAACGTTCACTTACCACACTGTTTTCTAGGAAGATACCTGAAAACATGCAACATGGAGAAGATGACATGAAGTCTAGGAAGCAGTAGCTCTAAACCAGTGGCTCTACCCCTTCAGGGTAGGCAGTGGGCAGTAGGAGGGCCCAGCGGGCTGGGAGCCCGGCAAGGGCCTGGCAAGGGACAGAGGAGTGACTTGAAGGTAAAGATGTGATAAAGGCAGACAACATAGAGACATTAAGGCAAACATCAAGTCCAGAAAACACAAAAGCTGTCGTAAAGGTAATTCATTCCCAGTTCACTGCTTAGCCGAGAATCACGTTGACATATGGTCGTGGCGGATGCTCTTGACTGACTCTGACTACAGATGCGCAGGAAAGCCATAGCCGTTCCGGAACAGAACCTGAGTGCTGTTAGCCTTGACCACATGCAAGACTAAACTTGCAAGTTGTCTGTGCTGACTGTCCCCACCTCCACTCCCACCACAAAACCTCCATTCAGGCCTAACTGTGTTCTTATCAAGGTCAGTGATGACCAGGGCTGCCACACCTAGGGTCCAGGCTTGGCCCTTGCTTGGCCTCAGCAGCATGTGACACGTTGACCCCTTCTTTCTAACCAAAGCTCTCACTGGTCTCAGGGCTCTTCCTGCCCCATGGCTGACCCCTCTCCTCTGGGGACCCCTCATCTCTCTGCCCTCCTAGTGCTCACCTCTGCTCTGTCCACCCCCAGGCCACAGGCTCTCCGTCAGCACCTGTGTTCCCCACCTTCTCTCTCCAGCCCCCTCTCCAGGCACATCTGTGCAGCTGCTAACTGGGCCTCCCCGCTCGGTGTCCAGGGCGCCCCCCAAGACTAGCATGGCAAGTACAGCCCCGGCCCCTCCGCCTGCCGCTCCAGGCCCTGTCTGCACGGCTTGCGCCCCAATTTCCTCCCCAACGTGCTCTTAGGAGAGGCTTTCTGAGGCAAGCCCTTGGCCTTCCGGATCTTTCATACTAATAGAAGCTCCAGTTTGTGCCAGGGCTTGTGGCTGACCAGCCAAATTTAAATTTTGGATGTACGAATAATTTTTAGTATAAATATGGCTGATATATTGCACAGGACATACTTCTACTTAGAGAGTACTTACACTAGAAGTACTTGTACTTTTTATGCTGAAAAGTACCCCCGGTCCTATGTCTGTATTTGCTAAATCTGACCGCCCAAGCAGAAAACACGGGACATCCCCACCTCCCTTCCAGCCAGGAATGGCCATGTGACCGAATCCCGCCAGTGGAACGCCAGCACCCCCTGGGCAGCCCCGGAGAAGAGGCACCTGCCTCGGCCACCCCTCTGCTTCTTTCTGGGGCCCCGGGATGTTAGAATTCTGATCCTGTGCTCCCGCGCGCCTCGCTTATTTCCAGAACCCAGCGCTGGCCTAAGCTTCAGGAGGCTTCAGCAGACATACACCCCCCCCCACCCCACCGCCCCGTCTCTTTCTGGCTTTGGAGTTTACAGGCATCATCGCCGCCAGACATCTCGCTCAGCAGCCACCACGACCAGGGAGGACTGGTTTGCTCACGGTGCTCCAGACACCCGCATGGTCACCTGCGTGCCACCTACTTCTAGGCAGAAAAGCACTGAGGGTGGACAGGCCATGGGGTGAGAGCACCGTCCTGGGAGCTCAGAGGCCCGGAGGGAGCGTCCGAGCGAAAGTGCGCACACGGACCCTGACGGGACAGGCTGGGGGCGGAGAGCGGGAGCTCCTCTCTGGGCGGCCACACACCCACCCACGGGCGCAGCACTCCCCTTCTGATTCCTATTCTCTGGTGCCCAGGGGCTGGGCTGGGGCTGTCGGAGGGGCCCGGCGGGCTGGGTGGAGACTGCAGACCGAGCCGCGCCCCCTTCCCCGAGGAGCCTTCCCTGGCTCCCCGTGCTCCTCCCTCCACCGGCAGCCACGGCAGGCTGGGTGCCGTGCGGGTCCACAGGCTGGGCTCCCACAGGAGCCCTGGGCGGCTCAGCACTGAGGCAGCTCCGGGGGACCGCGCCGGCTTCCGTGCCCCCCTGGCCTCAGAACAAGGGCGGGCAGGCGGGGAAGCAGGTCTCTGAAGGCAGACTGCAGTGGCCACACAGTGCCTGTGGGCCAGGGCCCACACGTGTGGCCACGCATGCCTAGCTGCGTGGCACTGGCTGCTGTGCAACAGGTGCCAGCGGGCCTCAGCCCCCACGCAGCGGCGGGGGAATCCGGGACCCGCAGTGGAGCCACGGCCTGGGGCGGCGCAGGTGGGCTGCGGTGGCCGGAACAGGGAGACAGGACGCAGCGTGCTGGGCTGGGCGTTTATTGATGAGGGGACAGTGGCGTGTGAGGGTCCTCAGCGCGCGGCAGGCCAGCAGGCGCACAGGGCCCGGCGCTCGGCCTGAAGCAGCAGGGCCTCCGTCTGCAGAGCAACGAGGGGCAGCGAGGTCAGGGCGCCGCACAGCTGCTCCCGCCCGCCCGCTCCCGTTTCCCCCCAAAACCCGCAGGCGATACCCTCTCCACCTGCTCCAGAGACCTCAGAGCCCCCCGCCTCCCCGCCACTGATGGTCAGACTTTCAGCTGCCAGGTGGGCCTCCTCCCCTCCCCACCCCCTCTTCCGGGATGGAAGGAGACTTGCAGTTTCTGCCAGCGGGGGGGGGGGGGGCTGCCCCCGCCCCGGACACGCAGACCCCACGCCCGGGCTACCTCACCCCCTCTCCTATCCACGGGCCCCCTTCCGGGATGGGCTGGGGGCTGCTGCTCTCAGGAGTCCAGGTCCAGACCCCATGAGATTCTGGATCCTCAGACCCTGGGGTCAGTCCAGGCTTCAACCTGCGCCCTGGGGAGGGCTGCCCAGAAAAGGGGGCTTGAGTAGGGTGTCCCCTTCTTCCCACTTCTGCAGACTCCCCTTTCCCCAAAGGAGTACCTAGCTCTGTCCCAAGTGAAAACTCCCCGGGCGAGGGGCAGGGCAGACGTGGGGGAGTGTGGGACGGCTCAGGGTTCATTCCAGATCTGGGGGGCGAGTCCTGTGTCCTGGGGCCCTGTGTGCATACCCATCCCTCCCCAGGTGAGGCCGGGTAACGGGGAGCTTCCCAGACCAGACCGCCCCAGCCAACCTGCCCCACCAGCCACCTCTTTCCCCGCCCCAGTTTCCCTGCCCACTGGGTCTCTCCCCCACGTGGGGCATGCGGTCCCGGGGGGACTCACACGAATAAGGCCCAGAGAGGCCTTGGGGAGGAGCGTCACCCTCCCTCCCTGGGGCTGGAAGCAGGCGCCAGAGGAGGGGGGTCACCTGCGCTGCGGGAGGTCCTTCCCCGCCCCCCCCCTCCGCGCCCTCAGGCCCGGCCAGGCCACGCCCCGGTCTGGCCAGAGGGGCTCACCCTCGAGTCCAGGCTGTAGGCCGTCTTCCGAAGATCCTGCAGGGCGCGCTGCATGAACTCGAACGCGTGGCAGTCCACGCACGGGCGGCCTGCGGAGGTGCGCGTCAGGGCGGAGAGGACGTGACCCCAGCCCGGTCCCACCCGCGCACCCCCCGCCCAAGGGGTGGCCCGGGAGCCGGACCGCGGGAGGGGTGCAGCGTCGGTGCTGGGAACAATGGGAGGCACGCCGCTCCCGCACACCCGGGTGGCGTCACGGCCCCGCGGGGACCCCTCCGCGACGCACGTACTCTGCGCGGGGACGGCGCTCCCAGCGGCGGGCTCGGCTCGGGCCTGGGAGCCCAGCAGCGCCACGCTCAACAGCAGCAGCAGCCAGGGCGGCGGCGACCTCGGGAGCCTGCACGGAGGCGGGGGGGCCATGGCCGAGCGCAGGGAGCCGGGGCCGCCCTGCAGCAAGGCGCAGGGGTCAGCCTCGCCGACCCCTTCACCCACCTCCAGAACGCACGCCGCGCCCGCGACCCCTCCCAGCCCGCTCTCACCCGGCTTACGGACTCCCCACCCCGCCCACCCCGGGCCCGCGAGCCGCTCCCACTCCGCCCTCACCGGGGCTCATGGACCCCCATCCCTCCCTCACCCCGGTTCATGGGAACCCTGCTCCGTCCCCTCCCAGGCTCGCCAACCCCGCCCCTCCGGCCCTCACCGAGGCTCATGGCCCCCCCCCCCCCACTCCGCCCTCTTCCCGGTTCATGGACCCCCCACCCCGCCCACCCCGGGCCCGGGAACCCCTCCCACTCTGCCCTCACCCCAGTTTATGGACCTCCCCACCGTATCCCCGCCCCGGGCCCGTGAACCCCTCGCACCTCGACACCCCCCACCCCGGGCCCGCGAGCCCCTCCCACCCCGCCCTCACCCCGATTCGTGGACCCCCGCCCCATCCCCTCCCGGGCCCTCGAATTCCTCCCACCCCGCCCTCACCGGAGTTCCCGAACCCCCCTACCTCTGCACCCCGAGCCCGCGACCCGCCCCCCAGGCCCGCGAACGCCCCACCCCGCCCTCACCGCGGTTCAGGGACCCCGCGACACCAGCGCGGGCGACTCGGGAAGACGTGCTGCGTCGGACGCGTACCGCGCAGGCGCTCCGACCCGACCCCGCCCGGGTCCCCCATCCGTCGTCGTTGTCATGGGAACCCAGAGACTGCGCGAACCACCAGTTTAAAGGGACCGCAAAAGCTCCAAGACTCCGAGTGCTCAGCCCTGGCGGGGGCTGCGCTTGCAGCCCCCCACCAGGCTCACAGGCTTTGGAGTCCGGAGGGCTACCGGGAGGAGGCGGTGTCTGGGCCGAACCTCCGGAACCACTGCCGGCAGGAGCGACGCTGAGGAAGCGGGAAATCTGCTTCTAGACTCCAGCGGTGCGGGATCTCGGGGTGTCCCTGGGGCCGATCCTGGGGGGGGGGGTCTATGCACTCCAGGGGCTGGGGAGGCTCCCCGCCGGCTAGTAGGGTCGGGTCGGGTTGGACTGCCCGGGGCGGGGGGGGGGGGGGGTCAGGGCCAGGAGCGAGCCAGGCTGTGGGGCGGTGGGGAATCCACGCTCCCAAGGTCTCCACCCCGGCCCGGCCTGGCCCGACCCTCCCGGCCGCGAAGAAGCCCCTCGGCGCGCGGACCCCTACTTGCCGCTCCCCTTCCGCCCCGCCCCGGCCGTGTGGCCTCGGAGAGGCAGCTTGGCTTCTCTGTGCCCTTTTCTGCCTGGGAAAGCGCAGGGGTGTTGGAAGTAAGGAGCGTCTCCCGGCCCCCCCCGTAGGTGCCGGCCGGGCGGCCCGCTCCCTCTGGGAAGAACGGGCTCCGCTGGCGTCCGCTTGCCGCCTGCAAGGCCCGGCCCCTCGGGGACGGCGCCCCGGGTCCAGGCCCGGCCGCGTCCGGGGCCCCGCAGCCCTCGCTGCTCCGGCGGGGCCGCGCCGAGCCTGCCGCCCTCTGCCGAGCCCGGGGCGGCCGTGGCCCCGGCCGGACGCGGGCTTCGCGTCCCGGGGAGGGGCCCGTGCTCGTGACCGCCGCGGTCCCCTCTTCCCGCTCGGGCGGACGCCAGGGCGCGCCCCGTCCCCGGCGCTAGGGCCGGCCTGGGCGGGGGGCCTGCGCGCCAGGGACGCCACGCGGCCTTGACTGTCTTCTACCCGCGGCGCCAAGCGGGGCTTGTGAGCTGCGCGGGCACCCAGCCGCGTCCACGCGCGGAGGGCGGCCGAGCGCCCCCGGAGGCAAGGCGCCGGCTAGACCTCGGGCGGCGGTGCTCCGGGCCGCGCGCCCCGCCCAGCCGGTGGGGGGGCCGCTGCGCGGCGCCCCGGCGCCCCCGGCGCCGCAGCTCCATCCCGCTTCCCCGCGCGCCGGGGCGCTGTCCTTCGGGCTCGCCTTACCCCGCGGCCCCAGCCGACCCCCCTAGACGCCCTGCCGCGGCCGCGCGCCCCCTAGCGGGGGGGCCGCAGGAGCCGTCTCCCCCTCGCGCAGCCTGCTCCCCCCTCCCCCTCAGGGCGCTGGACTTTCCTTCTCGACCGGAGCCCGTTCTTCAGCGAATAGGCTGTGATTCATTTTCTGTCCAAACAGAACAAGCCGTCGGTGGGTCGTAAGCCCCTCCCCCCGCGCCGCCCACCCCTGTCCTGCCTGCACCCTCGCTGCCCTGACCCGCCTGCGGAGCCTGGGGGTGGCCCTCAGGCCCCCCGCTCGGCCAGCAGCAGCCCCGCCGTCCCTGCCCTCAGCGCCCCGTCTCCGCCCGCACCGTCGGGGCGCGGCGGGGCAGGCCTCTGCCCCCCACTTTCCTATGTCCCTCCGGAGGGTCCCGTCGTCTTCTGTCACTGCGTCCGGTTGCGGCCGCGAAGCCCGGGCCCCGGGCCGGCCTCCCGCCCGCCGCCCGCCGCCAGCTCACGCCTCCACGCCGGCCCCCGACTGACCGCCGGGTTCGCCCCTGCGGGCGCTGAGCCCACGACGGCCCCGGAGGAGACGGCTCCGCGGCGGCCTCCCCCGCCGCGGCTCGGGCAGCCCGCCCTCGGAGCCCCCAGACTCCCGCCCTCCGGCCCCGGCCCCCGGCTCGTCCCGCTCGGCTCGCCGCGGTGCCGCCCTCTCGCGCCCCCTTGTGGTCCAGTCTCCCTATGACAGCCAGAAGGGCTTTTTCTTACACCTTCCTTCTTAATTTCCTTTTTAGGTTTATTTATTCTGAGAGAGAGAGAGAGATCGCCTGCGACTGGGGGAGGGGAGAAAGGGACGGAGAGAGATTCCCAAGCAGGCTCCAGGCTGTCCGCGCAGAGCCGGACACCAGGGCTGCATCTCCCCAACCACGAGGCGGTGACCTGAGCCACCCAGGCCACCCCATGCCTTCCTTTTTACATTGCAGTCACACATGCGTAAGATAAAATATGCCGTTTTAACCATGTTTAAGTGTCCAGTGCGGTGGCACTGAGTACGTTCACACTGCTGTGCAGCCGTCCCCACCCTCCATCTCCAGAACTTCCCCATCTTCCCAAACTGACACAATCCCGATTAAACAAAAAACTCCCCCCCCCCCGCACCCACCATCCTACCCGTCCGTCTTCTCTGTGAACCCGACTCTTCTAGGGGCCTCATGTAAATGGAATCATGCGGGGATTGTCCCTCCGTGACTGGCTTATTTCACTGAGCGTGGGGTCCTCAAGGTTCATCCGTGTGGTGGCAGGACGTCCTTCCCTTTAAGGCTGAGGGACACTCTGCCGTGTGGACTGGCCACCTTTCGCTTCTCCATTTATCTGTGGACACCTGGGCTGTACTCTTGTAACTTCCGCCCCTGTGACAGAAGGACCGTTTTATATGTGGTTTAAGTTGTACTTATTTACTTTGAGAGAAACAGAGACAGCTTGAGCGAGTGAGGGGCACAGAGAGGAAGAGAGAGAATCCAAGCAGGCCCCGCACTGCCAGCGCAGAGCCCGAGCCCGGGCTCAAACTCACAAAACCAGTGAGATCTTGACCTGAGCCACAACCAGGAGTCAGACCCTTAACTGACTCAGCCACCTTGGCGCCCCCTAGAAGAACCGTTTAAATAATCGTCAGACACGGTCCCCTGTGGGGTCACAGCCCTCCCCCGCCCGCCTTACCCAGTGACAGTCCAAGCCCTTAGGGGGCTGAGGGGCTGTGAACTTAGGGAGGCAGATACCTTTTCAAATTAATGTTTTCTTTTCTTTTCTTTTCTTTTTCCAGATAAATACACAGTAGTAGGATTGCTGGATCACGGGATAGTTGTATTTTTTTTTATTTATTTTTTTTAATGTTTTATTTATTTCTAGGAGAGAGAGAGAGAGACAGCGTGAGCAGGGGAGGGTCAGAGAGAGAGGGAGTCACAGACTGAAACAGGCTCCAGGCTCTGAGCTGGCAGTCAGCACAGAGCCCGACGCGGGGCTCGAACCCACGAACCGCGAGATCATGACCTAAGCGAAAGTCGGACGCTTAACCGCCTAAGCCACCCAGGCGCCCCGGGATAGTTGTATTTTTAATTTTTTGAAGAGGCTCCACACTGTTCTCCCCAGGGGCTCTACCAGTTTACATTCCCACCAACGGTGCCCGCAACACTGCTTTTGTTTCTTGTCTTTTTGATCTAGCCGTCCTGACAGGGGTGAGGTCCTGCCTCGCTGTGGTGGTGTCTTCTCATAGGGACACTACCCCTATCACATTAGGGCCCCACCTCTACGACTTTGTTTAACCTTAATTTTTTTTTCCATAAAGTGCCCCCCAAATGCAGCCTCCTGGGGGTTAGGGCTCCAAAATACAGGTTTGGGGGATACATTCAGTCCATAACACTCCCATCCTCCCCAGCCCCCTTTACCCTACCCTACATTTTTTTAACGTTTTTTAAATTTATTTTTGAGACAGAGAGACAGCACGAGCTGGGGAAGGGCAGAGGGAGAGGGAGACACAGAATCCGAATCAGGCTCCAGGCTCTGAGCTGTCAGCACAGAGCCTGATTCGGGGCTCGAACCCACGAACCGTGAGATCATGACCTGAGCCGAAGTCGGACGCGCAACCGACTGAGCCCCCAGGCGCCCCCGTCCTACATTTTTTATTCTCCTTACAGCTCTCACCTTCAGACACACTATGAACTTTATAAATATGCTGATTGTTCATTGGGTCCAGAGTTCCTGGGGGAGGGGAGGAACTTTGCCCTCGGGGATACTGGACACATTTGGGGTTGTCCCGGCGCAGGGGAGCGGCGCTACTGAGCCTCTCCTGACTCCCGGGGGCAGAGGCGAGGGCGCCGCCAGCACCTACGCTGTTCGCTGTTCGGGAGGGTCGGCACACAGAGCCATTTAACCCAGGTTGTCCCGCGGGGTGCGGGGTGGGGGCGGCGTCCGCGGCGTCTGGAACCGAGGCCCCGGAAGGCGCACGTGCGCGTGAGGACCGGAGCGCGGGCCCAGGGCGGGGGCGGGGGGGCGGCCTGGGCGGCACCAGCGCCGCTCGTCGCCAGGCGGGGCTGAGCTGGGACCCGGGGGCACGTCGTGAGGAGGCCCCTGGGGGGGTGTGGGGGCCGTGCTTGCTGGGTGACCGGATCGGAGGAGCTGCTGGCATGGAGCCACCCTGACGGACGAGGGAGTGAAGGGGGTGCAGGGGGAGCGCTTGGGGGGGATTCTCGTCAGAATCGGGCTCTCCCAGCCGGCCCCGGAGCCTCGGTCGGAGTGGTCAGCAAAGGGCGGCGTCTACATGATCCCAAGAAGCTCTGGAAGCACTTTTTTTTTTTTTTTAAGCAAGCGCCACCCCCCCAGGTGGGGCTTGAACTGATGACTCCGAGATGGAGAGCACCAGCTGAGCCAGCCAGGCGCCTGGGGAATGAACCCTCCGATGCTGCCCTCGGCCCCCCCCCACCCCCGCTCTCTCTGTGGCTGCCCCCACATCGTGACCGGGGCGTGGCGCTGGGCCCTCGGAGCGTCACCAGAGCCGGAACGGCTGCTTTGGGTTCGCCTTGGGCTCTGCCTGCGACCACGGACCTTCTCCTTCCAGGGCAGATGCGCCCACAGGCCCACCATCCCCAACGCCCAGCAGTCAGGATGCCCTCACCCCGCACCCCTGCCTTCACCTTCCCAGGAGGGAGGACCAAGTTGGGGAGATAGGGCCGCAGGAGTCACGTGTGCACACAGGATGTGAGAGACCCGGGGAGACCAAGATGGCGTCACGTTGGCCTGGGCGACCCTGGAGCCATGAGTCCGAGCTGCAGAGGATCGGGCACGGCCTTAGCCAAGACCCGCCGAGTCAGCTGGGCTCTGAGAGCGGGCAGAGCTGGGAGAACAGAGCGGGAAAGGTTAGCTGGCTAAGCTCTGGGACCTGATGCAGATGCAGACACACAGCGCCCTCAAGCTTATCACGGAAAATGAGACCAAAAGCAGGCCCTGCCTTTCTCTCCTTGCCCCCGGGTCTGAGGTGGAGGGGAGGGCAGAGACGACCCAGCCCTGAGAGGCTGTAAGACTGGGCTTGCTCCCTGGGGAATTGAAGGCCACCATTTATACCAAGTAATGTGCTAAGAAAATGCAAGCCATGAAATTCTTTTAAAATGGTTTTGGACTAGCTACTCACGGCAACTGGCAGAATCACCCCAGGGAGAATTCGTCCTTCAACCCAACCAACCATTTTTCCAGGGCAACGAGGGGCACGTGGTTAACGCAAACGAGGCGCGCAAGAGGGAGCAAAGCACCGTGAGCTTTTTTTAAAAAAAGTTATGGGGTCTCCTGGGTGGCTCAGACCATTAAGCGCTGGACTCGTTGATTTTGATTCGAGTCATGACCTCACATCCGGGCCCTGTGCCTCTGTGCTGACAGTGTGGGGCCTGCGTGGGATTCTCTTTCTCCCTATTCCTCTCCAACTCGTGCTCTCTAAATAAATAAATAAATGCTTTTAAAGTTATTTAAAAAGAAAAAAGAGCAGAATTATTGAGTCGGGGGAACAGATAGAAAAAAGATTGAAGAAACGTGAACAGAACCCGAGGGACCTGTGGGACACTATGAAGCCAAGCAGCATATGCACTGTGGGCGTCCAGGAAGGAGGAGAGGGGGAAAAAGGGGGGACAGAGAGAATACTGGAAGAAATAATGGCTGAAAACTTCCCAAATTTGATGAAACATATAAATACAAATACTTGAGAATCTCAATGAATTCCAAGCAATATG